GTCACTAATATATTTTGGTGCGAGGCCATGGAGAGATTTGTACACAAGCAGAGCTGTTTTAAAGTCTATTCTCTGAGCCACAGGAAGCCAGTGCAGGGACCTGAGGACCGGACTAATGTGGTCGTACTTCCTGGTTCTAGTCAGGACTCGAGCTGCTGCATTTTGAATGTACTGCAGCTGTTTTACAGCCTGTTTGGACAGACCTGTGAGCAGGCCATTGCAGTAGTCTAACCTACTGGAGACAAATGCATGGATAAGAATCTCCAAGTCTGCTTTAGACACTATGTTTTTGATCCTGGCAATGTTTTTTAGATGGTAAAAAGCTGCTGATGTTACTGATTTGATGTGGCTATTAAAATTTAAGTCTGAGTCCAGTATTACCCCTAGATTTCTGACCTTGTTAGAAGGTTTTAGGGAGAGAGACTGTAGGTGACAGATGACGCTCTCTCTTTGTTTCTGGGGACCAAAGACAATCATTTCAGTTTTGTCTGCGTTTAGCTGAAGGAAGTTGTTTTGCATCCACTCACTGATCTGTTGGATACAGTGAAGGAGTGAGTCCACTGGTCCATGTTCTCCTGCAGTCAGTGAGACATAGATCTGAGTGTCGTCTGCATAGTTATGATAGGAAACTTTGTTTCTGCGTATTAACTGACCTAACGGCAGCATGTAGAGATTGAACAGAAGAGGTCCCAGGATCGACCCCTGTGGTACTCCACAGGTCAGGGCCATATGATCTGAGACACAGTTTCCAATCTCCACAAAGTACTTCCTGTCTTCAAGGTAAGACCTAAACCAACTTAGGGCGGTGCCAGCGACGCCAACCCAGTCCTCTAGTCTCTGTAAGAGGATCTCATGGTCGACAGTATCAAAGGCAGCACTTAGATCTAACAGGATTAGGATTGAGACTTTGCCTGCGTCAGTGTTCAGCCGGATATCGTTTGTAACCTTAACGAGAGCAGTCTCAGTGCTGGCCTTTGGGAATATTCCAGAATCAAGGGACATGTTTACTATCTGTGTGAGTGAAGGTAACAGACTGCTCAGAACAGACTTTAGAAATCTAGTGGGTAGTACATCCAGGCTGCATGTGGAGGAGCTCAAACTGGAGATTATCTCTTGGACAGTTTGATCATTTACAGGTGCAAAGTAAGTTAGCTCAAAGAGCCTTTCTGGCTGTTGGATTGTTATCTGTGGATTGGAGGACAATGGCGTTTTTGATGCCTTGAACCTTGTCATTGAAAAAATGTGCAAACTCATTACATTTACGTTTGGAAGTTAGCTCTAATGGCATTTGAACAGGGGGGTTTGTTAATCTATTAACTGTTGAAAACAGAACACGCAGATTGTTGCTGCAGCCTTCAATCATTTCAGAAAAATACCTTTCTCTTGTACTACGTAGCACCTGGTTAAACTCGCACAACTTATCTTTGAAGATCTTGTAATCAACCTGGAGGTTGGACTTGCGCCACTTCCGCTCGGCCCTCCGGCACTCTCTCTTTTGTGCTCTGACCGAGTCTGCTTTAGCCCACGGCGCCTTCTGCTTATTTTTCACTATTTTAACCTTCACAGGAGCGATGGTGTCCAGAACTTTCAAAACACTAGAGGTGACAGAGTTAAACAGTTCATCTACAGTAGAATACGATGCATTCTCAAAGTTTATCATTCCCATAAATAGTTCACCCGTATTTTCATTTATGTGTCTTCTTCGTACAGTTGCAGAGTCCACTGGTGGTTTGTTAGTGAAACACATGTCAAAAAATATACAAAAATGATCCGAAAGCGCAACATCGACCACGTTTACATTATATATGTTCGCCCCCTTTGTAACTAACAGGTCTAGAGTGTGCCCTTTGCTGTGGGTGGGGCCACTCACATGCTGAGTGAGACCAAAAGATTCAAGAAGAGAACTCAGCTCTTTAGCATTTCTGTCATCAACATTATCCACATGAATATTAAAATCACCTGTAATAACTAAACTATCAAAATCTGTGCATACAACTGAAAGCAACTCTGTAAAATTATCAATAAAACTGTGACATGACTGCGGTGGCTTGTATAGGACAACGAAAAGTATTGGAGGAGATTGTTTTTGTTGTATTTTAAAAGACACATATTCAAAAGACGGAAACTTCCCAAGAGACATTCTATGGGAGACAAAGTGGTCTCTGAAAATGGCAGCTAAGCCTCCTCCTTTTTTGTTTTCCCGTATTTCAGATTCAAATTTGAAATTTGGTGGTGATGCTTCTATTAAAACTGCATTTTCTGTATTTTGGTCAAGCCATGTTTCAGCCATGAACATAAGATCTAGATTATAAGAACAAATAAAATTATTGATTAAAAAAGACTTGTTACAAAGAGATCTGACATTTAGCATAGCAAGTTTCAAAGTTTCAGGATCAGCGGTTGTGGTCGGCTGATTCTTACACGGAACAAGAATTAGATTTTCCTGATTAGACTGATTAACTCCAGATGTTTTTCTGTTATGTATTCTTTGTGTTATCACTAAGGGAATGGCACAGGTGGCTTCACGACAGGGCCCCAGCCGGGTCTCTCCTCTAACTAGACTGCCAGTGGCTGCGAAGCAGAGACCCTGTGCATCCTAGTGTTTAGAGAAAAGAGGGGTAGGGGAAGGCGGGGGAGGAGGATGGAGAGGCGGGTGGTTCTTGGGAGTTGGACGGGGAGGGGTTGAAGGTGGATGGGTTTTTGGTGATGGGTTAGGGGAGGGGCAGGCTGAGTTGGGTGGTGGACGAGGGGGGAGTGGAGGTGGAGGGTTTCTTGGTGCTGAGTTAGGGGGGGGGGAGGGGGGCTAAATGAGCAGGAGGGGGGGGGTGGAATACTTATGGGGTTAGAGGAGGGACGGGTGGATTTTGTGGGAGAATTTGAGTTGGACGCCCTAGGTGGCTTTGGAGGTACGTATGGGGAGTAGTTTTGAATGTTAGATAGGACTCTTGATCTGGCTACAGTGGGTGTGAGAGGAATAGTCTTCATCGCCGATCTTATCATGCCTGCAGAGTGTTCCGGTAAATCCAGTAGTGAAGGCGGGGATAGAAAACAAAGGGAAAGGTCGTCCTCATTTTCCCTAGATGGAGTGGATGTAGCGGGGGGGACCCAAGCCGGGTCCATGGAAGGTGATGAGGGAGTCTTTGGTGGAGACAGAGGTGGTTGAGGAACCCCCAGTACAGGCCTGACTGTAGCCTGGAGTAATGGGGGAAGCTTCACGGGAGCTGTAGGTGGGGAAGGTGCTGCTGAAGATGATGGAGCAGCCACTGCTGCTGCTGTATCCACTGCTGCTGCTGAAGATGATGGAGCAGCCACTGCTGCTGCTGAAGATGATGGAGCAGCCACTGCTGCTGCTGAAGATGATGGAGCAGCCACTGCTGCTGCTGAAGATGATGGAGCAGCCACTGCTGCGGCTGTATCCACTGCTGCTGCTGAAGATGATGGAGCAGCCACTGCTGCTGCTGTATCCACTGCTGCTGCTGAAGATGATGGAGCAGCCACTGCTGCGGCTGTATCCACTGCTGCTGGTGGTGCTGTATATGCTGATGGCGCTGATGAAGATGTGGCAGCTGCTGATGATGCTGGGGGTGGAGGCGTTGAGCTCTTTCGAAGCCGTGGAGGTGTTGAGTTCTTTTGGAACCTTGGAGGTGTTGAGTTCTTCTTGAATCGTGGAGGTGTGGAGTTCTTTTGAGGCGGTGGGGGTGCAGAGACCTCGGGAGTCGGTGGAGATGGTAGTGATGTCTGTGCCCTTTGCTTCTTCTTTCTCCCTTTCAACGGCTGCACGCGCTGCGCAGGCTGAGGTCTTAGGGCAGATGCAAAGTTATCCATCAGCACTTTTACTCCGTAGTTGTTCAGATGTGGGCCTTTTTCTTCAAAAAGCTCGTGCCTATTCCAGAACAGATTAAAGTTTTCAATGAAGCCAAGTCCTCTGCGTGAACACTCATTGAGTAGAAATGTATTTAGCTGATACAGACGGCTAAACTTCTCCATTTTTCCATCTATATTTGGCAGTGGGCCACTAAGAAAAATTGTTATGTCCATTTTCTTGAGGTCATCCAGTAACAGCGTTAAATCCATTCGTAACTTCTCGCTTGCCTTCTCATAGATATCTACCGCCCCCGTGTGGATCAATAATGTACGCACACCACTGTTCTCAGATAACACTTTAGGCAGAAGAGTTCTTATCTCAGCAACTTTAGCAGAGGGAACTGAGACAGTGAGCATGGACTCCATGTTTACATTTTTCACCGAGCCATCTCCGATAAGGATACAGTTTGTCCTTGGTGGAGGCGCTGCAGTTTTTAGCAGCTTTGTTGTTTCAGAAAGGGGTAAAAAGCGGTTTGAAGTCTTCAGAACATTTAGTTGTGGCCTTATTTCACTCCTATTGTCATTCTTAGCTTTGTCAACTTTGGGTTTGGCTCCACAATTGTTCCAATAATTCTCATTGTTGATTTTGGGAAAAGAAATGACGTCAACTTACATTTCCAGTCTGTCCATTCATCCCATTTTCACTCATTGGAAGAGTCGGGTTAAGTCCCATTTCTGTTTCCACAATAGATATCCGTGTTTGAAGAGATTTAAGCTGATTTTCCAAAGCACAACAGCCACCGCAGACGCTTCTCCGTCTCTTCCGTCCCGACATGACTAATGTTGATAAATTCCACAAAGCTGAAGTGTGTAGAAGGAGTAATCCTCGTTTTGTAAATAAAATGATTAAAGGAGAAACAAAAAATGTAAATAAAATGATTCAGGGAGATTAAAAGGCGAAGCAAAAGCAGAGCAGAGAGACACGACCGCTCTCTCGAGAAGCAGGAAGCAGGAAGTCCGATCGGACCCTCCGGAAGGGGGTGTCCGATCGGATCGGCTCCTCGAGGTGTCTCAGGCTCTGCTGGTTTGGGCTGCGCCTCACCTGTCTACACTGCGTGCAGCGTATCTGCCAGGGGACTGCAATCGAGTGGCGGACTCCCTGTCTCGCGGGAGGCCTGCCCCGGTGGAATGGTGTCTCCACCCCAGTGTGGTCCAGAGGGTGTGGGGCCTTTTTGGTCGGGCACAGGTGGACCTATTCGCTTCGGTGGCCTCCACTCATTGCCCTCAGTTTTTTTCCCTGGACGGGGCTCCGGGCTTTCTCGGCCAGGATGCCCTGGCGCACAGTTGGCCTCAGGCCCTCCTGTACGCCTTCCCCCCTTTTCCTCTGATCTGGCCAACCCTCCAGAGGGTCCTTCGGGCGGGGCACAGTTTATTACTGGTGGCTCCGTTTTGGCCTGCACGGCCCTGGTTTCCACTGCTACTCAGACTTTGTTGGGCTCCCCCCTGGCCTCTCCCTCCCAGGCGGGATCTGCTCTCACAGCTGGACGGTCAGGTGTGGCATCCCTGTCCTCACCGCCTCAAGTTATGGGTATGGCCGTTGGCTGGCCCGAGCTGCGGGCACTCGATGTCACTGGCCCTGTCAGGCGTACACTCCTGAATGCCAGGGCGGCCTCTACTCGGCGGCTGTATGAGAACAGGTGGAAGTTGTTCTCCCGCTGGTGTTCTTCCCGCGGTCGGGATCCCGTGTCGTGCCCGGTGGCGGTTGTCCTGGAATTCCTTCAGTCTCTCCTGGATGAAGGTCGGGCCCCATCTACTCTGAAGGTATATGTTGCTGCTATTTCATGTTATCATGGCCAGGTTGATAACTGTACTGTGGGGGGCCATAACCTGGTGTCTCTCTTTTTACGCGGAGCTCGTAGGCTGCACCCTCGCGTGCCCGCGCGGTCTCCAGTTTGGGACCTGGCCTTGGTGTTGGAGTCTCTCTGCCGCCCTCCGTATGAGCCATTGGCCCGAACGGACCTCAAGTGGCTCTCCTATAAGACTGCTTTCCTGTTGGCTGTGGTCTCTGCAAAAAGGGTCGGTGAGTTGCATGCACTTTCTGTCAGTCCCTCATGCCTACACTGGGATCCCGAGAAGGCTGGCGTGGTCTTGTGGCCTAATCCCACTTTCCTCCCTAAGGTGCTTTCCCGTGACTATTGTAACCGGCCTTTGAGGTTGGCGCGGTTTGTGTCCCCCCTGGATGGGGGTGAGGACAGACTGCACCTGCTGTGTCCTGTGAGGGCATTGGAGGCCTACGTTGCTGCGACGGCGGGTGTGAGGCGCTCAGACCAGCTCTTTGTTGCTTATGGTGGTGCTAGACTGGGAAGTCCGCTTTCGAAGCAACGCCTTTCCCACTGGGTGGTTGGCGTTATCAGTCAGGCGTATGTTTCGGCCGGCCGCGACCCGCCAGCCACAGTGAGGGCCCTTTCTACCAGGGGTGTCTCTACCTCCTGGGCCGCTATGCGCGGGGTGCCGCTGGGAACTATTTGTGCTGCTGCGTCTTGGGCTACACCAAGCACGTTCACCAGATTCTACAACATCAATGTGGCCACTCCGGCTCCTCTTGGCGTGGTCCTTCAGGAATCCTCTGGCTCTCCTCCGTGAGGTGTGTGGTCAAGATCCTTCGTGACATAGCTGGTATAAGGTCATTCAGTGCTATGCACCGCCCTCTGGCGGTCTGAAGGGATGAAATAGAACGAGGGTTACGTATGTAACCACGGTTCTATGAATCCCGGATGACCGCCAGAGGCGCTCTGTCACTCAGGGTCCTTGCATCCGCGAGAAGATTCTGCAGGAACAGAGTGCTGTATGACGCTGGACTTTATTACCTACGGTGTGTCACCCAGGGGGTCACAGGTGTGACTCATTTGGTATTATTACTCGAACTGTGCATGCGCGAAGGGAACATTCAGTGCTATGCACCGCCCTCTGGCGGTCATCCGGGATTCATAGAACCGTGGTTACATACGTAACCCTCGTTTTTAGGTCAGTTAAACTCAAAAGCCTTAAACGTGTCTCTGACCTTTGACATGAGCTTGAGTCCCCGCTCGATCCGCGGTTGAGGCTTCTTGTCCAGAATCCCGGCTTCGTACGGCGACACGATGGCCGGATTGACAAACCTCAAAAACATGGCACTGCCCACGGCGCCGATGCTGTTCTGAGGGAAGCGCTGACTGACTACCTGCGGAAAACGCACAAGCAAAAAACGACAAAAAAGGACAAAAACGTGGCAGATTTAGACCGGCGTGGACACAGAGGAATGTACTGAGAGAGACTGAACGAGAACATGTGTGTGGTGTGTGTTAAAATGAGCAGTGGGAAAGACGGTAGAAATGAATGGACCTCAGGCTGAAAAAAAACTGGAAAGTGGATCCCAAACAGGTCATTTTTAAAGCTGTGTTTGTGTTGGAGATTTGGTAAATTTCTCTCCAAAATATGACCAAAATAATCAAATCTATGTTTGTGTTGTCATAGACAGAGACATTGCCTGTTCTATCCACTTTACAGCAATTCAAATTTTTCTCTTTCCTAGCTTGGGGTCCCCCCTGGTCCCTAGTCTCGGGTCCACCCCCCTCGGTCCACAGCTTTGGGTCCACCCCCCTCACCCCCTCGGTCCCCAGTCTCGGGTCCACCCCCCCGGTCCCCAGCCTCGGGTCCACCCCCTCGGTAGAGCCCTGCACAGGCCTATTATCTGGGCCCGAGCCCGGCCCTGGCCCGAAGGGGTGGAGCCCCAGCCCGGCCCGATATGGTTTCTGAATTTTCAGGCCCGAAACCCGCATCAAGCCCGACTTTTTTTTTTTTTTTTTAACATCCCACAACAATATTTTAGCGTAGTATATAGTGCCACGCACTGATATGAACGCAGACTTAGCTAGAGGGCGGAGTTATACATGGTAGTGATGTGTTGCAATGAGTTCTGTGTGTGCGGAGTGGTGCAGAGTGAACGGCAGCATCTGTATGATGCCCAGATGCTGCAACACACCTGTAAGTGACGCTATGTGTCGTCAATGACAACACTACACAGAACAACAAACACTACAGCGTGATAGAACGCTATATTCAGTGGGTGCGTTCGTAAATGTATTCTGCCGCTCTGAAAATGAAGAGCCCGAGCCCGGCCCGTGTCCGAGGTCATTATGCGGTCATCGGCCCGAAGCCCGGCCCTCGGGCTGTCGGGGCCCTCGGTGCCCTCGGGCCAAGGGCTCAAGTGCAGGGCTCTACCCCTCGGTCCCCAGCCTCGGGTCCCCAGCCTCGGGTCCCCAGCCTCGGGTGGACCCTCGGGCCATTTTGCCCATTCATTTGCACCGTGAACCCATCGATCAAAGTCGAGACAGAAACTTCAGATGTGAAGCGACATCCAGCGTCAGACCCTGAATGGGAAACAGAACTGAAACACACCCATTGAGTCATGACAAATGAACAACATCTGATGACGATGGAGACAAGCGTGATTCTGGAAACATCCCAAAAGTAAAAGAAAACATGGAACGACGGTGAAAGAGTCGAGTCCAATCAGAAGTTTGTCATTGGTTCACACAGACCTGGCCATCGCATCGTTTACACCAGTCTACACTTTTATACTCGGAAACACTTTGGATTGTTAGTGGTTTCTGAGCCGCACTGCTACAATTGCTCCAGAGGTGAGAACGGAGCAGAGATTTGAGGATGTGGAATTTATATTTTCATATTAATTTATGATTTTAAGGCCTTGTGTGCCCGTTTCCATCTTGTTTTGTTCGGTACAATTCATACACAAGGCTCAAATAACTCAAACTTGCCTTGCGGGTTAATCTATAACAACTTGTTATTGTCCTTTACAAAAAATGTCTGTCTTGTAAAAGCCAAAAACTTGAATAGTCTCCTAGTTTGGGCAGGTGCAATGTTTTTTGTGTTTCCAACTGCACAAGCACTTTATTTGGGCAAGTGCAATGTACTTCGTAATTTTCACCACAATAGCACTTTGTTGCCAATTGTGTAAATACTGTTTTTAACCATCGGTAACTGGGGCGACAGTAGCTCAGTTGGTAGGTCATTGGCTTTAGAGCCTGAAGGTCGTGGGTTCGAGCGCTTCACATGACCTACTTCATGACTCCCACTGATGTCTGCTGTCGTTGTGTCCTTGGGCAAGACACTTAACCCCACTTTGCCTGAAGCCCCCGCTGAAAGATCTCAGCTCCTGTGGACTCACCACCTGCAGGAGGATCAGTGAGGGGCTGGTGCTCTGTGGACTGGGTGCAACTCTGACTGCCACCCCCGACCCAGAAATGGATTAAGGGGAAGAAAATGGATGGATGTTTTTAACTGTGGTCTTGCACTAGTTGATCTGTATCCTTGCTTGGATGGGACTATCATGGCATATTCATGTGTTGATGTTGTGCAATAACATCAACACAATAGTCCTGATGCTGAGTGCCTTGTGTCTAAGACAAATTTCCCGATGGAACAATAAAGTTTAACCTTGAATCTTGAGTCATTGTAAATTGTAAAGTAAGAGTCTACCCGTACGTAGCTTTTAGCCAATACAAGTCTTTATCAAGGTTATGCTCATCATTCATGAACTTCCCCACTTACCTTAAACATCTCTCTTGAGTTGAACTGTAGATTTGCTTGGTGGACCGTACCATAAACGGCGTGTACTGCGTCTGTGTGAACTCAATGACAAACACCAGCGGCTGCAGCTGGTTCTGTTGGAGTCTTCACCAGGACAGAGCATGCACCACGTCACACAGTCCAGCCACCTTCACCACTCTACTCTTCACAGGAGAGCATTTTCACAGAGACACTACTCAGCTTTACAGAGAGACAGAGAGACAAGAACCAGGGTTTGGAGAGAAGGAGTCAGGAGGAGGCAGGAGGAGGCAGGAGGAGTCTTAGGAGCTCGAGTGAGGAGAGAAATGTAGAGAAATCTATTGCACTGATAAAGGACTATTGAGCAAAACGGTGAAATCACAAACAGCCTGGAGTTTAACCTGTGGGAGGGCAGCTTAAAGTTAATAGTAAATAATAAATCAGTTTTATATTAGCATCATTTGGACGCACACAGTCCCCTGTCATGGCCCCTCCCGGCCCCTAGTCCTGGCTCCTCCCGGCCCCTAGTCCTGGCTCCTCCCGGCCCCTAGTCCTGGCTCCTCCCGGCCCCTAGTCCTGGCTCCTCCCGGCCCCTAGTCCTGGCTCCTCCCGGCCCCTAGTCCTGGCTCCTCCCGGCCCCTAGTCCTGGCTCCTCCCGGCCCCTAGTCCTGGCTCCTCCCGGCCCCTAGTCCTGGCTGCTCCCGGCCCCTAGTCTTGGCTCCTCCCGGCCCCTAGTCTTGGCTCCTCCCGGCCCCTAGTGTAGGCTCCTCCCGGCCCCTAGTCTTGGCTCCTCCCGGCCCCTAGTCTTGGCTCCTCCCGGCCCCTAGTCTTGGCTCCTCCCGGCCCCCGGTCCTCCCGGTCCCTAGTCTTGGCTCCTCCCGGCCCTAGTCTTGGCTCCTCCCGGCCCCTAGTCTTGGCTCCTCCCGGCCCCTAGTCTTGGCTCCTCCCGGCCCCCGGTCCTCCCGGTCCCTAGTCTTGGGTGATAATACAGATAATGTTTTTTCTCATGACGTATGCAGGATTACGGACACTAGAAAAGGACTTTTAGATGCAAGAATAGTGTAACTGCTTTGTGAATATTAATCACTGTTAAATTATAATCTAGAAAAAAAAGTCTTGTTGCCATCTGCCCTCCCACTAACACTGGGGCACAAACACAAGCTGAAGAAAGAAAACTGGGTGAAATATCAGGCCGTCATTATAGAAGTCTTAAAACTATTGAAATTGGATGAAAAAGTCTCAATAATATTAAAATCATGTGTAAATGCTTCTGAGATTGTTATTATCGCATCGCACACATTGAGCTTCAGGCTTGTGTAGGTTCAAGATTAGGATTTTTGTCCCCGTCCAGAGCTGCTGAAGAGGAAGTAAAATTAAAAAAACATAAAAGTAGAAAAAAAACAAATACAAGCAGGATTCAAAATATTAGAGTAAGTTTGATTCTTTTTACTTTAAAACACTTTTTTTTTTTAAATAAATTAGCCGTTTTTTTTCATTCACTCATCACTTGCTTCATACAGCCATACTTAGTCCAATAAGTTCCCGCCTTTTTGGATCCATGAACTTATTATATTCATACATGTGTTACCGGTTTTTAAATAAAATAACGTATTCTTTTAGTAATTAGACAGAATTACAAAGGATTTCTCCATCATTGTCAAACTGCACGGTTGTGAATGAGGCTGTCCAGTTGTGTACGCTGCTCTCAGGTCCAGGCTTAAGCTAATTCAACAAAACAAAGTTGATCGGTTTAAAGCTGGGGTACCTAACTTTAAAACAACATTCTTTGAACTATGTGGTGGAAAATCAGTTTGGTTCAATCTATAGAAAGTATGTTAGGAGTGGACTGAGTGCTAGCGTCACCACAGTTTTAGCCTGAATGCGGAAGAGGACGATTTGAACTTAAGCTAGCTGGAGCCAATTTCCTTATATGGGCATGTTAGCTTTGTGTCGTGACAGGGGCAGACGTGTTGCTAAGCTGCTGATCTGTTACTGAGCTAAAATGGAGATTACTTTTACATGCAAGTCAAAGTTGTAGCAAAACTTTATCTATGATTACTTCCCTAGCTTCGTTTAGCTAGCAGGTTAGCATTGTCAGACTATATATACAGGCTATGGTTCACTTCTCTCACAGGTTTGCAGAAGTAGCGTGTGTATTTTTGGCAAAGTGAAGTGAGAAAGAGGACAGCCTTCACTCAGCCAATCAGCTGCTCAGTTGCAGTCAGATTGTTCACAACATTGAACTTTTATGACAATTTTTTCTGTTGCGACAAACATGTGTTACTTATGACGTGAAAAAAGTAATGTACCTCCACTTTAATGGAGAACAACAAAACTAACCTTATTTTACAAACTAACCTTTAACATCTTTGATTTTCAACATTGCTGCCAAGATTATAGTTGTATCAATGATTTTCCAGGTAATAAAATACAATTAGAATAGATTAATATAGATTCTGTTCAATGATTTTTTTATATTAGATTTATATATCTTTATTGACAAGGGTTAGCAACAAAAGAGTACAGTCTGTCGAGGCGATTGGAGAGATTAGTATTATGTTGTTTTTCCCATTAGTCAATCACAATGTCAACGTTAATATTAAAAAACAGAAAATTAGGAGATGAAAGAAAGCGGTTTTAAAATACAAAAGTCAATTTAAACTTGTATTTTGTTGAGATGTTCTGAGAAAATGTCTCCTGAAGTGCAACCAGACAGGAAGAGAGAGCTCCCAGTGTTAATAATGACGCCAATATTAGTACAATGATTTCAAATAATACAAAATAAATGGTTAAAGAATGGGGAAAAAACAGCTCCAGATGACAGCAAATCAACGCCAATCAAAAAACAAAATGATAAACAAAAATGTTAAATTATAGTAATAAAATAAAAGTCGTCTGTTTTAAAGTGTCGGTGAAATTCTCCAGAAAACTTACTGCTTTTTTGTTTTCCTTTTTTTCTTTTACGGTAGCTTTATTCAGTAGCGAGTGGCAAGTAGCCTACAGGACAGAGATGGCACAATGGTCACAGCACCGGCGAGCCACAACAACACACAGACAGGTGGCGCTACAGCAGTGTGTGCGGTGAGGTCCATGCATGTGTGTGTTAGCTCCATGGTTAGCTCGCGGCGTTAGCATGAAGCAGTTAGCGCAGCGGACTAAAGCCACCGCCTCCTCCCGAGTCCTGTGGAGTTTGCATGTTCTGCTTATGTCAATATCTTTACATTTATGGACATTGGTCTCTGTGTGGTTTTTTATTAGTGCATTTTCTGTGATTCTCTGATCTGCTGTTAGCGAACTGACGGTTTTGTGAAATCCTCAGATTACTTTTTTGATTTAAGGCGATGCCAAAATAAACACATTGAATTGAATTGGATGTTATGAATGGAAAAACTGACTTTTCTAATCTGCTACTGGTGAATTCACAATTTAGACAAAACCTTTCGAGATGACTCATGTTATGCATTCACGTTAATAGTTTATTTAGTGTTATAAGTTTGCTTCCATCCCAAGATACCTCATTGTCCTCATCTTTAGATCTGCTTTTTCAGAAAGAAAAGTGAAAAAACGGAGAACCACCCCCTCTCGGCCAATCAGCTTTCAGCTCAAGTCGTAGCATGTCCTTTATGTTATTTGAACGAATCTTGTGACGTTAACAAACCAGATTCGTTCTCAGATACGTCTATTCTTGGTGTTGGATTTTATCAACTACATTTCCCCCAAAAAAATGCTCTTATATTCTAGAGCGACATGTTTTTTTTTCTTCTTTATTCTGCATTTTTGGCTGGTGCAACTTATAATTTGAAAAAGGAGACGGCCAAAACAGAAAGCTTATATGTGGCTTCCCCGGTTATCAAAACTACATTTTAACGACTGCAAACAAGATGCAAACCACCAGCAGAGATATTGACCCCGTGCATGTGACGTCCCGGCCACGCCCATTCTCCTTCGGAAACTTGACCAAAACAACCTGTTCCACCGAATAACAGCCAAAATTGAGATATTTTTCAGTGCGGTTGGTTATACTTACAGGACATAAGCCAAATGTGTCTTTATCTGATACCTGCTCGTCATGAAGACAGAGGACGACGATGGCGGCAATCAACCAAAAGGACTGAGAGCCATCCAAGAACTCCCAAATTTGCCGTGAACACTTTTTACAAGATAAAATCAATCACAATTTTGTATTTATTTTCTTTCCATTAATTTAGTTGGAGGACAATGACACACTGAACGCTTGAAGTCAAACGTGTCTCTTACTACTGTCCTGAATGTGCGCTGCAAGATAGAAAACCTGTGTTTATGAGAAAAGGTAGATGCCTCAGCCTTAGAACCACTATCTAGGGGTTAGTGTAGCATTAGCCGTAGCATTAGCCATAGCATTAGCCATAGCATTAGCCATAGCATTAGCCATAGCATTAGCCATAGCATTAGCCATAGCATTAGCAGTGTTAGTTAGCTCTGCGTGTGAAAGACACTGGCTCCAATATTCTCACCAAACCAGATTGAGACTTCCCCAATCCCGTATAAATGCAGCACCTTGGTAACTTATGGGTTTTCTCATTAAAACAGGGGCATAACATAAACATACTTTTAAATAATGAATGAGTTACAGCTTCTCGGCATCCATCTCATTCCAAAAATATGTAATTGCTCTGAATTATTAAAGCTGGGATACTCAACTTCCAAACCACACAAAAAATATCTATGTAACTAGTTTTTAATTTTCAAAACAGATAGATAGAACAGAAGATAGTCCCTCTGTTTATTTGTGAGTAGCAGGTAAAAAAAAAAAAAACATAAAATTTTTCACAAATCCTTCAAGACGACTCTGGGATACTTTCATTCGTCACAACTTCTTTGATAACAATTAGTCAAAAATTGCTAAAATTTGTCAAAATGCATCTGAATTTCACCACATTGTGACTGAGCCTTAAAACAAAATTTGCCAATGGATCAAAACAGTTCTCGAAATGATACTAAATGGCTTTGTCCCATTTGAGAATCTGGTTTGATACAGTAAAGACCACTCAATTCAAACATTTATTACCTCATTTTTATTTTTTGCAGTGTGTAGAATTGGGTACCCGAGCTTTAGTCATGTCAAAATGTCCTTATTCATAACTTGTAAGGCAATTTGGACAAAAATAAAAAAACACTAAATCAACCCAGATCAAAGGTACTTGTCTCAATAAAAGCCATTATCTCAGCTCAGCCCAAAGCATTAAATATTGACTCACAGGGCTCTGTCTAATGGGACCAAACTTGTAGAATCTATCAACAAGAGAAATTGGGTACCCCAGCTTTAAATCGCTATGGCAAAGTGTCTCCCCAATACTTAAGACAGATAGACAAAACTTAGGGAAAAAAATTCAATACAAAAATTAACCCAAGGGTCTAAATACTTTGGTTTCCCCTCAGTAAAACGGCTGCAGACCTCCTTCTACAGTCTGACAGCACTGTAGGAGCAGAGCCAGGGAGCAGGAAGTGGCTTGGTTGGCGGTGAGCAGTGAGCGTGGGCAGCGTGGGCTCGTGGTCAGAGAGAGAGAGAGAGAGAGAGAGAGAGAGAGAGTACCTGGTAGAGACAGTGGCAGACGCTGCGGAGCTGAGGCGGGAACTCGCTGGACGACCCGATTATGGCCTGGAAGAAGCGCTCGGTGATCTGCAGGAGGTTCCTCTGGTTCTCGTCCAGGTTCTCCCCCTGGTCCAGCCTGAGGAGAGACCGGGTTTAGGATTTCATCTAATCAAAGGGCGAGGAAGCAACGCCCCAAAGAGGTAGGTTTCAGTTCAAAGCTTCAAGTAGATGCAGCGATTCAAAAGGTGATCCACCAAATGGTCGAGGAAACTATTTAAAGTCTTCCTGAAAATGTGAGACAGGCTTCCTAAGTTGGAGATTTCAGACTTGCTTCCTCATTATGCTAAAGCTAGAGATAATAAATAAATAAATGTCCAAGAGAAGTTATGACGATACAATGTTCTATATTTCTCTTTTCTCTCTCTCCCCTCTCTCTTCCTGTCCTTGGAGCATGATTGGACTGAGAGGACGAACAAAGATTCAAGTCTGCATCTCCCTCTAGTGGAAAAGAGCAGTAACAGGACAAGTGAAGAACAACTGTACATACATTTTTAGTTTAAAAGTAAAATATTGTGTCCTCTCTCGCACCTACATCCCACCGCTGTCCATCTGTCTCCCCCCTAACCTCCTCCCTCTCCCCCCATCTGTCCATTACCTGCAACTATTCCTCTCTCCCTAACCTCCTCCCTAACCTCCTCCCTAACCTCCTCACTAACCTCCTCACTAACCTCCTCACTAACCTCCTCACTAACCTCCTCACTAACCTCCTCACTAACCTCCTCACTAACCTCCTCACTAACCTCCTCACTAACCTCCTCACTAACCTCCTCACTAACCTCCTCACTAACCTCCTCACTAACCTCCTCACTAACCTCCTCACTAACCTCCTCACTAACCTCCTCACTAACCTCCTCACTAACCTCCTCACTAACCTCCTCACTAACCTCCTCCCTCCCGGCCTCCCTCCCCCCTCTCACCTGGTGGGGTCGACCTCAAAGCTGATGTGTTCAGGTGTGGTGATGACGCCTCGTAGAAGTGGCTCCAGGAGTTTCTGCAGATACGCCGCTCCGTAAACCTGCAAACGAGACACAGAGACTCAGTGTGGGAGAAGTGTGCTGCCCAAAGACACCAGGGGTGAGACTGGCCAGAGAGGTGAGACTGGCCAGAGAGGTGAGACTGGCCAGAGAGGTGAGACTGGCCAGAGAGGTGAGACTGGCCAGAGCGGTGAGACTGGCCAGAGCGGTGAGACTGGCCAGAGCGGTGAGACTGGCCAGAGAGCTGAGACTGGCCAGAGAGGTGAGACTGGCCAGAGAGGTGAGACTGGCCAGAGAGCTGAGACTGGCCAGAGAGCTGAGACTGGCCAGAGCGGTGAGACTGGCCAGAGCTGAGACTGGCCAGAGAGCTGAGACTGGCCAGAGAGCTGAGACTGGCCAGAGAGCTGAGACTGGCCAGAGAGCTGAGACTGGCCAGAGAGGTGAGCCTGGCCAGAGAGCTGAGACTGGCCAGAGAGCTGAGACTGGCCAGAGAGCTGAGACTGGCCAGAGAGCTGAGACTGGCCAGAGAGCTGAGACTGGCCAGAGAGCTGAGACTGGCCAGAGAGCTGAGACTGGCCAGAGAGCTGAGACTGGCCAGAGAGCTGAGACTGGCCAGAGAGGCCAGAGCGGTGAGACTGGCCAGAGCGGCCAGAGCGGTGAGACTGGCCAGAGCGGCCAGAGCGGTGAGACTGGCCAGAGCGGCCAGAGCGTGAGACTGGAGACTGGCCAGAGAGCTGAGACTGGCCAGAGAGCTGAGACTGGCCAGAGAGCTGAGACTGGCCAGAGAGCTGAGACTGGCCAGAGAGCTGAGACTGGCCAGAGAGCTGAGACTGGCCAGAGAGCTGAGACTGGCCAGAGAGCTGAGACTGGCCAGAGAGCTGAGACTGGCCAGAGAGCTGAGACTGGCCAGAGAGCTGAGACTGGCCAGAGAGCTGAGACTGGCCAGAGAGCTGAGACTGGCCAGAGATGTGAGACTGGCCAGAGATGTGAGACTGGCCAGAGATGTGAGACTGGCCAGAGAGGTGAGACTGGCCAGAGAGGTGAGACTGGCCAGAGAGGTGAGACTGGCCAGAGAGGTGAGACTGGCCAGAGAGGTGAGACTGGCCAGAGCGGTGAGACTGGCCAGAGCGGTGAGACTGGCCAGAGCTGAGACTGGCCAGAGAGGTGAGACTGGCCAGAGAGGTGAGACTGGCCAGAGCGGTGAGACTGGCCAGAGCGGTGAGACTGGCCAGAGCGGTGAGACTGGCCAGAGAGCTGAGACTGGCCAGAGATGTGAGACTGGCCAGGACGGCCAGAGAGGTGAGACTGGCCAGAGCGGCCAGAGAGGTGAGACTGGCCAGAGCGGTGAGACTGGCCAGAGCGGCCAGAGCGGTGAGACTGGCCAGAGCGGTGAGACTGGCCAGAGAGGTGAGACTGGCCAGAGAGGTGAGACTGGCCAGAGCGGTGAGACTGGCCAGAGCGGTGAGACTGGTCAGAGAGCTGAGACTGGTCAGAGAGCTGAGACTGGCCAGAGAGGTGAGACTGGCCAGAGAGCTGAGACTGGCCAGAGAGCTGAGACTGGCCAGAGAGCTGAGACTGGCCAGAGAGCTGAGACTGGCCAGAGAGCTGAGACTGGCCAGAGAGCTGAGACTGGCCAGAGAGCTGAGACTGGCCAGAGAGCTGAGACTGGCCAGAGAGCTGAGACTGGCCAGAGAGCTGAGACTGAGACTGAGACGGCCAGAGAGCTGAGACTGGCCAGAGAGTGAGACTGGCCAGAGAGGTGAGACTGGCCAGAGAGGTGAGACTGGCCAGAGCGGTGAGACTGGCCAGAGCGGTGAGACTGGCCAGAGCTGAGACTGGCCAGAGAGGTGAGACTGGCCAGAGCGGTGAGACTGGCCAGAGAGCTGAGACTGGCCAGAGCGGTGAGACTGGCCAGAGCGGTGAGACTGGCCAGAGAGCTGAGACTGGCCAGAGAGGTGAGACTGGCCAGAGAGGTGAGACTGGCCAGAGAGGTGAGACTGGCCAGAGAGCTGAGACTGGCCAGAGAGCTGAGACTGGCCAGAGAGCTGAGACTGGCCAGAGAGCTGAGACGTGGTTAAGCGGAGGTTTACCTTGAAGCAGAAGGTCATGATCTTGCTGGCCAGAGAGGTGAGACTGGCCAGAGAGCTGAGACTGGCCAGAGAGCTGAGACTGGCCAGAGAGCTGAGACTGGCCAGAGAGCTGAGACTGGCCAGAGAGCTGAGACTGGCCAGAGAGGTGAGACTGGCCAGAGCGGTGAGACTGGCCAGAGCGGCCAGAGCGGTGAGACTGGCCAGAGCGGCCAGAGCGGTGAGACTGGCCAGAGAGCTGAGACTGGCCAGAGAGCTGAGACTGGCCAGAGAGCTGAGACTGGCCAGAGAGCTGAGACTGGCCAGAGAGCTGAGACTGGCCAGAGAGCTGAGACTGGCCAGAGAGCTGAGACTGGCCAGAGAGCTGAGACTGGCCAGAGAGCTGAGACTGGCCAGAGAGCTGAGACTGGCCAGAGAGCTGAGACTGGCCAGAGAGCTGAGACTGGCCAGAGATGTGAGACTGGCCAGAGAGGTGAGACTGGCCAGAGAGGTGAGACTGGCCAGAGAGGTGAGACTGGCCAGAGAGGTGAGACTGGCCAGAGAGGTGAGACTGGCCAGTGAGCGGTGAGACTGGCCAGAGCTGAGACTGGCCAGAGAGCTGAGACTGGCCAGAGAGCTGAGACTGGCCAGAGAGCTGAGACTGGCCAGAGAGCTGAGACTGGCCAGAGAGCTGAGACTGGCCAGAGAGCTGAGACTGGCCAGAGAGCTGAGACTGGCCAGAGAGCTGAGACTGGCCAGAGAGCTGAGACTGGCCAGAGAGCTGAGACTGGCCAGAGAGCTGAGACTGGCCAGAGAGCTGAGACTGGCCAGAGAGCTGAGACTGGCCAGAGAGGTGAGACTGGCCAGAGAGGTGAGACTGGCCAGAGCGGTGAGACTGGCCAGAGCGGTGAGACTGGCCAGAGAGCTGAGACTGGCCAGAGATGTGAGACTGGCCAGAGATGTGAGACTGGCCAGAGAGGTGAGACTGGCCAGAGAGGTGAGACTGGCCAGAGAGGTGAGACTGGCCAGAGAGGTGAGACTGGCCAGAGAGGTGAGACTGGCCAGAGAGGTGAGACTGGCCAGAGAGGTGAGACTGGCCAGAGCGGTGAGACTGGCCAGAGCGGTGAGACTGGCCAGAGAGCTGAGACTGGCCAGAGCGGTGAGACTGGCCAGAGCGGCCAGAGAGGTGAGACTGGCCAGAGCGGTGAGACTGGCCAGAGCGGCCAGAGCGGTGAGACTGGCCAGAGCGGTGAGACTGGCCAGAGAGGTGAGACTGGCCAGAGAGGTGAGACTGGCCAGAGAGGTGAGACTGGCCAGAGAGGTGAGACTGGCCAGAGAGGTGAGACTGGCCAGAGCGGTGAGACTGGCCAGAGCGGTGAGACTGGCCAGAGCTGAGACTGGCCAGAGAGGTGAGACTGGCCAGAGAGGTGAGACTGGCCAGAGAGGTGAGACTGGCCAGAGCGGTGAGACTGGCCAGAGCGGTGAGACTGGCCAGAGAGCTGAGACTGGCCAGAGATGTGAGACTGGCCAGAGATGTGAGACTGGCCAGAGAGGTGAGACTGGCCAGAGAGGTGAGACTGGCCAGAGAGGTGAGACTGGCCAGAGAGGTGAGACTGGCCAGAGAGGTGAGACTGGCCAGAGAGGTGAGACTGGCCAGAGCGGTGAGACTGGCCAGAGAGCTGAGACTGGCCAGAGCGGTGAGACTGGCCAGAGCGGCCAGAGAGGTGAGACTGGCCAGAGCGGTGAGACTGGCCAGAGCGGCCAGAGCGGTGAGACTGGCCAGAGCGGTGAGACTGGCCAGAGAGGTGAGACTGGCCAGAGAGGTGAGACTGGCCAGAGCGGTGAGACTGGCCAGAGCGGCCAGAGCGGTGAGACTGGTCAGAGAGCTGAGACTGGTCAGAGAGCTGAGACTGGCCAGAGAGGTGAGACTGGCCAGAGAGCTGAGACTGGCCAGAGAGCTGAGACTGGCCAGAGAGCTGAGACTGGCCAGAGAGCTGAGACTGGCCAGAGAGCTGAGACTGGCCAGAGAGCTGAGACTGGCCAGAGAGCTGAGACTGGCCAGAGAGCTGAGACTGGCCAGAGAGCTGAGACTGGCCAGAGAGCTGAGACTGGCCAGAGAGGTGAGACTGGCCAGAGAGGTGAGACTGGCCAGAGAGGTGAGACTGGCCAGAGAGGTGAGACTGGCCAGAGAGGTGAGACTGGCCAGAGAGGTGAGACTGGCCAGAGCGGTGAGACTGGCCAGAGCTGAGACTGGCCAGAGAGGTGAGACTGGCCAGAGCGGTGAGACTGGCCAGAGAGCTGAGACTGGCCAGAGCGGTGAGACTGGCCAGAGAGCTGAGACTGGCCAGAGAGCTGAGACTGGCCAGAGAGGTGAGACTGGCCAGAGAGGTGAGACTGGCCAGAGCGGTGAGACTGGCCAGAGATGCGAGACTCGAGAGGGTCCAGAGAGTCGCCCTCCGGCCCCTCACCTCTTCACGTCGTGGTTAAGCGGAGGTTTACCTTGAAGCAGAAGGTCATGATCTTGCTGGCCAGGCTGTTTCCTCTGAACAGCGTCTGCATGGAGTCTGCGAGCTCCACCTCTTTAGAAAACATGTTCCAGAGCAGCTGATAGAGAAGGTGGCGGGAGTCAAACAGCGTGACCAGGACCCGGGCCAACTCGTCCTACAGAAGAAAGAGACACAGAGCGAGAGAGAGAGAGGCAGAGAGAGAGAGAGGCAGAGAGAGAGACAGAGAGGCAGAGAGAGAGAGAGGCAGAGAGAGAGACAGAGAGACAGAGAGACAGAGAGACAGAGAGACAGAGAGACAGAGAGACAGAGAGAGAGAGAGAGAGAGAGAGAGAGCAAGGAACAGAGACAGAGAGAGCAAGAGAGAGACAGAGAGAGAGACAGGAAGACAGATCACATAATAAGCAAAGATAAACATTATCAACCTAACCCAATCTAAACAGCATCACCGTTAGCTTCCATGACATCCAGTCTATTTTTACATAAACAAGTGTCCTACTGCTACTAAAACTGTCAAAATAATAATTAAACTCTGCATCGCTGTATAAGCCGCAGGGATCAAATTCATTAGAAAAAGTAGTTGCTTATAGTCCAGAAACTACGGTATTTAAAAATCCTTTGGGGAGCCACTGAAACAGGACTGACCCACTGAGAGCCGGGCACCACGTTGGCCAGCGCCATGGCGATGGGCAGCTCCCCCTGGTCTCCCATCATGGTCACCAGCTCCACCAGCCTCTCGAAGCGGTCGGCCAGGACGGTCTCTGCCAGCGTGTCGAACTCCGTGCCCTGCTGCAGGATCTTCGTCAGGACCTCCATGAAGGTGGCTCTGGTCTGGAGGTCTTTGTGGTACCCCAGGCCTGGACACACAGACACACAGGAATACATGAACAACCTGCGGCTTATATTCCAGTGCGGCCTATATGTGGACAAAATGCACTTTTCAAATGTAGGAGGTGTGGCTTATAGTCCAGAGAGTCCAGTGTTTTATGATAAATAACATTTGAATTGATCCTTAGTGGGTTTTTTTATTTTATTTAGAGGATAAGCCCCTTGAGATGAATCATCTCGTTTAAGGATAATATTTTTAATATTAATAGTTTATTAGTAATAATATGGAGACAGTAAAGACAAGTTTACCTTGGTCGTAGTTGTACATTACAGAAGGATAGAAGGAGGAAGAGCACTCCGATTATCCATTATTTAAAAATCAGAAGGCAAAAAACTTTGGAGCTGACAAAAAAAATCTTTTACTAAAAAACAGAGAAAAAGAGAAAGGAGAGAAAGAGCGAGAGAGATGGGAGATAGCGCGAGAGGGGGAGAGAGCGCGAGAGAGGGAGAGAGCGAGTGCGAGAGAGAGAGCGAGAGAGTAGAGAAAGAGCGAGAGAGATGGCGCGAGAGAGTGAGAGTAAAAGAGGAGAGAAAGAGCGAGAGAGATGGGAGATAGCGCGATAGGGGGAGAGAGCACGAGAGGGGGAGAGAGCGAGTGCGAGAGAGAGAGCGAGAGAGTAGAGAAAGAGCGAGAGAGATGGGAGATGGCGCGAGAGAGGGAGAGAGCGAGAGAGTGAGAGTAAAAGAGGAGAGAAAGAGCGAGAGAAATGGGAGATAGCGCAGGAGGGGGAGAGAGCGCGGGAGAGGGAGAGAGCGCGAGAGAGGGAGAGAGCGCGAGAGAAAGTGGAGAGCGAGAGAGCAAGAGAGGAGAGAAAGAGCGAGAGAGATGCGAGAGAGGGAGAGAGCGAGAGAGCGAGAGTGAGAGCAAGAGGAGCAAGAGCGAGAGAGAAAGAGCGAGAGAAAGTGGAGAGCGAGAGCGCAAGAGAGGAGAGAAAGAGCTGGAGAGAGCGAGAAAGATAGGAGAGAAAGAGTGAGAGAGATGGGAGAGAGAGAGAGAGCGAGAGAGCAAGAGAGGAGAGAAAGAGCGAGAGGGAGAGAGGAGCGAAAGAGGGAGAGTGGAGATTAAGATAATTGGGTAACACTTTACATTACGGGCCGGTAAGTCCATGGTACTTACAGTGGTACTTCTAGGTACTTACGGTGGTACTTACGGTGGTACTTACGGTGGTACTTACGGTGGTACTTACGGTGGTACTTACGGTGGTACTTACAGTGGTACTTACAGTGGTACTTCTAGGTACTTACAGTGGTACTTACAGTGGTACTTCTAGGTACTTACAGTGGTACTTCTAGGTACTTACTGGTACTTACGGTGGTACTTACGGTGGTACTTACGGTGGTACTTACGGTGGTACTTACAGGGGTACTTACGGGGGTACTTACGGTGGTACTTACGGTGGTACTTACAGGGGTACTTACGGTGGTACTTACGGTGGTACTTACGGTGGTACTTACGGTGGTACTTACAGTGGTACTTACGGTGGTACTTACGGTGGTACTTACAGGGGTACTTACGGGGGTACTTACGGTGGTACTTACGGTGGTACTTACAGGGGTACTTACGGTGGTACTTACGGTGGTACTTACGGTGGTACTTACAGTGGTACTTACAGTGGTACTTACAGTGGTACTTCTAGGTACTTCTAGTGGTACTTCTAGGTACTTCTAGTGGTACTTCTAGGTACTTACAGTGGTACTTCTAGTGGTACTTCTAGGTACTTACAGTGGTACTTCTAGGTACTTACAGTGGTACTTAGAGGTACTTATTGTGATAATTCTAGATACAGCTGTAACTTAGTAATTCAAGGACACTACAGTATTATTCCTATGTAGTAAATGTGGTACTTCTACATACATACATACAGAGGTCATTTGTAGGATTGTTTGACTATAAAACATAAAACAACATTATGTAAAACAAACGTCTTTATTAATATGGAATAAGTAGCACAGAAAGGACAGTATAAATACATTTAATGCATATTTCAAAACAAGTTTCAAGGACAAGGGAAACACTGCAAGAACTAGGTACCCAACCCAAGTAACAAGAATTACACATTACCAGGTACTTACCAGCCAAGTACCAGGTACTTACCAGCAAGTACCAGGTACTTACCAGCAAGTACCAGGTACTTAACAGCAAGTACCAGGTACTTAACAGCAAGTACCAGGTACTTACCATAGAGACTGGCCCATAATAAGACAAAGGACTTTAACATAAGTACCAGTGATAACACCAGTAATTATACAGTAAGTACCAGGTACTTACCATAGGGACTGGCCCATAATAAGACAAAGGACTTTAACATAAGTACCAGTGATAACACCAGTAATTATATAGTAAGTACCAGGTACTTACCATAGGAACTGGCCCATAATAAGACAAAGGACTTACCCATAAGTACTACTTGCTGTTAAGTACCTGGTACTTGCTGGTAAGTATCTGGTAATTGCTGGTAAGTACCTGGTACTTGCTGGTAAGTACCTGGTACTTGCTGGTAAGTACCTGGTACTTGCTGGTAAGTACCTGGTACTTGCTGGTAAGTACCTGGTACTTGCTGGTAAGTACCTGGTACTTGCTGGTAAGTACCTGGTACTTGCTGGTAAGTACCTGGTACTTGCTGGTAAGTACCTGGTATCACTAGTACTTATGGGTAAGTCCTTTGTCTTATTATGGGCCAGTTCCTATGGTAAGTACCTGGTACTTACTATATAATTACTGGTGTTATCACTGGTACTTATGTTAAAGTCCTTTGTCTTATTATGGGCCAGTCCCTATGGTAAGTACCTGGTACTTACTGTATAATTACTGGTGTTATCACTGGTACTTATGTTAAAGTCCTTTGTCTTATTATGGGCCAGTCCCTATGGTAAGTACCTGGTACTTGGCTGGTAAGTACCTGGTACTTGCTGGTAAGTACCTGGTACTTGCTGGTAAGTACCTGGTACTTGCTGGTAAGTACATGGTATACTATATAATTACTGGTATCACTAGTACTTATGGGTAAGTCCTTTGTCTTATTATGGGCCAGTTCCTATGGTAAGTACCTGGTACTTACTATATAATTACTGGTGTTATCACTGGTACTTATGTTAAAGTCTTTTGTCTTATTATGGGCCAGTTCCTATGGTAAGTACCTGGTACTTACTATATAATTACTGGTGTTATCACTGGTACTTATGTTAAAGTCCTTTGTCTTATTACGGGCCAGTCCCTATGGTAAGTACCTGGTACTTGCTGGTAAGTACCTGGTACTTGCTGGTAAGTACCTGGTACTTGCCTGGTAAGTACCTGGTACTTGCCTGGTAAGTACCTGGTACTTGCCTGGTAAGTACCTGGTACTTGCTGGTAAGTACCTGGTACTTGCCGGGTAAGTACCTGGTACTTGCTGGTAAGTACCTGGTACTTGCCTGGTAAGTACCTGGTACTTGCCTGGTAAGTACCTGGTACTTGCCTGGTAAGTACCTGGTACTTGCCTGGTAAGTACCTGGTACTTGCCTGGTAAGTACCTGGTACTTGCCTGGTAAGTACCTGGTAATGTGTAATTCTTGTTACTTGGGTTGGGTACCTAGTTCTTGCAGTGTTTCCCTTGTCCTTGAAACTTGTTTTGAAATATGCATTAAATGTATTTATACTGTCCTTTCTGTGCTACTTATTCCATATTAATAAAGACGTTTGTTTTACATAATGTTGTTTTATGTTTTATAGTCAAACAATCCTACAAATGACCTCTGTATGTATGTATGTAGAAGTACCACATTTACTACATAGGAATAATACTGTAGTGTCCTTGAATTACTAAGTTACAGCTGTATCTAGAATTATCACAATAAGTACCTAGAAGTACCACTGTAAGTACCACAATAAGTACCTCTAAGTACCACAATAAGTACCACTCTAAGTACCTAGAAGTACCACTGTAAGTACCACAATAAGTACCTAGAAGTACCACTGTAAGTACCACTGTAAGTACCACTGTAAGTACCTAGAAGTACCACTGTAAGTACCACGGTAAGTACCACCGTAAGTACCACCGTAAGTACCACCGTAAGTACCACCGTAAGTACCACCGTAAGTACCACCGTAAGTACCACTGTAAGTACCACCGTAAGTACCACCGTAAGTACCACCGTAAGTACCACTGTAAGTACCACTGTAAGTACCACTGTAAGTACCACTGTAAGTACCACCGTAAGTACCACCGTAAGTACCACCGTAAGTACCACTGTAAGTACCACTGTAAGTACCACCGTAAGTACCACCGTAAGTACCACTGTAAGTACCACCGTAAGTACCACTGTAAGTACCACCGTAAGTACCACTGTAAGTACCACCGTAAGTACCACTGTAAGTACCACCGTAAGTACCACCGTAAGTACCACTGTAAGTACCACTGTAAGTACCACTGTAAGTACCACTGTAAGTACCACCGTAAGTACCACCGTAAGTACCACCGTAAGTACCCCTGTAAGTACCACCGTAAGTACCACCGTAAGTACCACCGTAAGTACCACCGTAAGTACCACCGTAAGTATCACCGTAAGTACCACTGTAAGTACCTAGAAGTACCACTGTAAGTACCTAGAAGTACCACTGTAAGTACCATGGACTTACCGGCCCGTAATGTAAAGTGTTACCGATAATTGCTTTTTTTTACGTTTTTCTAGATCTGGATTTTTTCTGGACACGCCCATATTTGGTTGAAATACAAACTTTTCTTCACTTCTCAAAGATCCCTGTGTTTGTCTTTGATATATCTACATGTCTTTTCACATTCACACGGTTTAGCTTCTGTATCAGCACCGTCGCTACATTGTTTCCAAATAAGGTTTTTTAAAGTGAGCAAAATGTGTTGTTTTGTCTGAACAGAAGCGGCGCTCTCTGGTGGGATCCGTTACCGATGGAGTGCATGAGGCCGCTGTCCACGTTGGCGTTGAGCAGGTTGGACATGGCGAGGACGGTGCAGTGACGGAGGGAGGCCAGGCGCCGGGACATCCCTCGCTTCCGCCCGCCCACCGCCTGTCCGTCATCCTCCACCTCCGAGCAGTCGTTCAGCAGGTTCATGAAGAGGGTGAAGTACCTGCAGGAGAGAGAAGGAAAGACAGAGGGTGAGAGAGAGAGAGGGACAGAGACAGAAGAAGAGAGAGAGAGGGACAGAGAGACAGAGAGAGAGAGACAGAGAGAGAGGGACAGAGAGAGAGAGAGAGACAGAGACAGAGCGAGAGAGACAGAGAGACAGACAGATAGAGACAGAGAGAGAGACAGAGAGAGAGACAGAGAGAGAGAGAGACAGAGAGAGAGACAGAGAGAGAGAGAGACAGAGAGAGAGAGAGACAGAGATAGAGAAAGAGAGACAGAGAGACAGAGAGAGAGAGAGAGAGAGAGAGACAGAGAGAGACAGACAGAGAGAGAGAGACAGAGAGAGAGAGATAGAGACAGAGACAGAGAGAGACAGAAACAGAGAGAGACAGAGAGAGAGACAGAGAGAGAGAGACAGAGCGAGAGAGACAGAGATAGAGAAAGAGAGACAGAGAGACAGAGAGAGACAGAGAGAGAGACAGACAGAGAGAGACAGAGAGAGAGAGACAGAGAGAGACAGAGAGCGAGAGAGAGAGACAGAGAGAGAGAGAGAGAGACAGAGCGAGAGAGAGAGACAGAGAGAGAAGTAGAGTGAGAAAGACAGACAAAGAGACAGAAAGAGAGAGACAGAGGAACAGCGAGAGGGAGAAAGGGAGAGAGACAGAGCGAGACAGAGACAGAGACTTAAATATAGTTCATTAAAATATGGGTCACTGTTATGTTCAGTACGATCTAACATTAAGGTTTTGTCAGGGGGAGGGATCATTTTAAATAAGATTTGCCGGAGAAGAACAGTTGAACCCATGACAAGAGGCCTCACTGATTCAAATTCATTTTGACCAATCAGGAAGCTCTAACGAGGACTGGTCTTCAAAACGTCCGTCCGTTTTCTTCCGCTTCATCCGTTGCCGGGTCGCGGGGGCAGCAGTCTAAGCAGAGACGCCCAGACTTCCCTATCCACACACACTTCCTCCAGCTCGTCCGGGGGGACCCCAAGGCGTTCCCAGGCCAGCTGAGAGACATAGTCCCTCCAGCGTGTCCTGGGTCTTCCCCGGGGCCTCCTCCCGGTGGGACGTGCCCGGAACACCTCCCCAGGGAGGCGTCCAGGAGGCATCCGGAACAGATGCCCGAGCCACCTCAACTGGTTCCTCTCAACGTGGAGAAGCAGCGGCTCTACTCCACAAGGCACCTTTTTCCGGTCGAGCACCATGGCCTCAGATTTGGAGGTGCTGATTCTCATCCCAGGCGCTTCACACTCGGCTGCAAACCGCCCCAGTGCATGCAAACGTCTGCAAACAGCAGAGATGAAATCCTGTGGTCCCCGAACCGGACCCCCTCCGACCCCTGGCTGCACAGAGAAATTCTGTCCATAAACACAGTGAACAGAACCGGTGACAAAGGGCAGCCCTGGCGGAGGCCAACATGCCCCGGGAACAGGTCTGACTTACTGCCGGCAATGCGGACACAGCTCTGGCTCAGGTCATACAGGGACCGAACAGCCCTCAGCAGAGGACCCCGGAGTACCCCGGAGTACTCCCGAGAACCCCCCAAAGGACACCCCGGGGAACACGGTCGAACGCCTTCTCCAAATCCACAAAGCACATGTGGACAGTTGGGCGAACTCCCATGAACCCTCGAGTATCCGATGGAGAGTATAGAGCTGGTCCAGTGTTCCGCGACCGGGACGAAAACCACACTGCCCCTCCTGGATCCGAGATTCAACCATCGGCCGTAACCTCCTCTCCAGTACCTTGGAGTAGATCTTACCGGGGAGGCTGAGGAGTGTGATCCCACGATAATTGGAACACACCCTCCGGTCCCCCTTCTTGTAGAGAGGGACCACCACCCCGGTCTGCCACTCTTCAAAACATCTCTCTCTCAAAATTTCAAAAGTAAATATATTTCACCTTGAGTGCAAAAAAGATACAATATAGATTTTTGTTTTCAGTAATATATTAGAGCTTTACACATAACAGTCAGAAGCTCGAGGAGGAGGTTTTCCAGAGTCTTACTTGAGGAAGAGTTGGGATTTGGCCTCCATCAGCTCCACGCCGTCGCCCTCCTCTGGCTGCAGAGGTAACCCCGCCAGCAGGGACACCACCGCCTCCATACTGGCCTGGTCCAAGTCCCTACACACAAAGAAGACACACACAGAGACACGCACAGAGAGACACGCACAGAGAGACACACCAGAGACACACAGAGTGACACACAGAGTGACACACAGAGTGACACACAGAGTGACACACAGAGTGACACACAGAGTGACACACAGAGTGACACACAGAGAGACACACAGAGAGACACACAGAGAGACACACAGAGTGACACACAGAGAGACACACAGAGTGACACACAGAGTGACACACAGAGTGACACACAGAGTGACACACAGAGTGACACACAGAGTGACACACAGAGTGACACACAGAGAGACACACAGAGAGACACACAGAGAGACACACAGAGTGACACACAGAGAGACACACAGAGTGACACACAGAGTGACACACAGAGTGACACACAGAGTGACACACAGAGTGACACACAGAGATACACACAGAGTGACACACAGAGTGACACACAGAGTGACACACAGAGATACACACACACACAGAACGTGTTATAGGGTTCCACATTGAGGTTGACATTGAGGAAATAGGATATGCACCATTTTAGGCCCTTAAAGCTGAGGTACCCAACTTTTCTGTTTCATTTTAGAATCCATGTTTTTGTTCAGAAAGTATGTAAAAAGTGAACTAAGCAGACCACAACATCCAGTCTTTATCTTATTAGAAAACATGTTACATTTGGCATTATTGTCAGTCACTAATGGACTCTTTGGAGAGAGAGCTGATTGGCTGACTGAGGGTTTTACCTTTACAAAACCGTTTCCGTAGTAAATAACAAAATGCAGTATTTAGCTTTAGAAAAGAAGAAGAATGTGTCTCCGTAGCGACGTTTTCGCCCTCACCTGGTCAGGCACTTGATGTCGTCGTCGGCCGCCTGATTGGACGTCCCCATGACCCAGTCGGTCAGATACTCCACCATTTTGTTCCTGCGCAGAGGTCAGAGGTCACGCTTCATTGCAGGGTCATGTGATCAGTAGAACTAGTCTGTGTTTCTGTACCTGAACTTCATCTCTTGGCAGAAGGAGAGGTCGTCCCGTCGCTCCATCATCACCTCCACCAGCTGGCACAGTTTGGTTTTGATCTGAATGGCGTGGATTACATTTCCCAGAATCCTCACGTATCTGGAACAGGGACAGGGCTCATCAGGATCCAGGACCAAGATCACACAAAAACTACCATTGGGTTTTTAAAAGCGATAAGAACTAAAAACACACTTCTGGAACTTCAGCTGTTATGTAATGTTAAAGTGATAAGAGTTTTGTGCTTAAACGTCTGTAAATCTCTCAAATCTCTCTCTTCCGTCTCTCCACTCTCTCCCTCTCCACTCTCCACTCTCTCCCTCTCCACTCTCTCCCTCCCCACTCTCTCCCTCCCCACTCTCTCCCTCCCCACTCTCTCCCTCTCCACTCTCTCCCTCTCCACTCTCTCCCTCTCCACTCTCCCCACTCTCTCCCTCCCCACTCTCTCCCCTCTCTCCCTCTCCCCACTCTCTCCCTCCCCACTCTCTCTCCAGTCTGTGTCTTTCTCTCTTTCCCTCTCCCCTGTCTCCTTCCTCCCCACTCTCTCTCCAGTCTGTGTCTTTCTCTCTTTCCCTCTCCCTCTTCCCTGTCTCCTTCCTCCCCGCCGCTCCCGTCCTTCTCTCTTCTTCTCTCTCTCCAGTCTAGTCCCTCTCTCTCTCTCCAGTCTAGTCCCTCTCTCTCTCTCCAGTCTAGTCCCTCTCTCCAGTCTAGTCCCTCTCTCCAGTCTAGTCCCTCTCTCCAGTCTAGTCCCTCTCTCCAGTCTAGTCCCTCTCTCCAGTCTAGTCCCTCTCTCCAGTCTAGTCCCTCTCTCCAGTCTAGTCCCTCTCTCCAGTCTAGTCCCTCTCTCCAGTCTAGTCCCTCTCTCCAGTCTAGTCCCTCTCTCCAGTCTAGTCCCTCTCTCCAGTCCAGTCCCTCTCTCCAGTCCAGTCCCTCTCTCCAGTCCAGTCCCTCTCTCCAGTCTAGTCCCTCTCTGACCTGACGAGGTTGAGCATCATGGTCTCGATGCTGGCCTGGCCCAGGTGCTCGGAGCTGCCGTCTGTGTGGTTGTCCAGGAGGTTCTTCATGATGGCGATGGTCTGCTCTACAAACTGAGTGTTGGTGTCGTTGATGGGAACCTTGGTAACACAAGAAAACACTTTAAAATCTCTCGCTGCACGCTCCGGCCTCTCTCTCTCCCCCCACGCTCCGGCCTCTCTCCCCCCACCCTCTCCCCCCCCACGCTCCGCCCTCTCTCCCCCCACCCTCTCCCCCCCCACGCTCCGGCCTCTCTCCCCCCACCCTCTCCCCCCCCACGCTCCGGCCTCTCTCCCCCCACGCTCCGGCCTCTCCCCCCCACGCTCCGGCCTCTCTCCCCCCACGCTCCGGCCTCTCTCTCCCCCCACGCTCCGGCCTCTCTCTCCCCCCACGCTCCGGCCTCTATCTCCCCCCACGCTCCGGCCTCTATCTCCCCCCACGCTCCGGCCTCTATCTCCCCCCCCACGCTCGCCCCCCCCCACGCTCCGGCCTCTCTCCCCCCCCACGCTCCGGCCTCTCTCCCCCCCCCACGCTCCGGCCTCTCTCCCCCCCCCCCACGCTCCGGCCTCTCTCCCCCCCCACGCTCCGGCCTCTCTCCCCCCCCACGCTCCGGCCTCTCTCCCCCCCACGCTCCGGCCTCTCTCTCCCCCCTCACGCTCCGGCCTCTCTCTCTCCCCCCACGCTCCGGCCTCTCTCTCCCCCCACGCTCCGGCCTCTCTCTCCCCCCACGCTCCGGCCTCTCTCTCCCCCCACGCTCCGGCCTCTCTCTCCCCCCACGCTCCGGCCCTCTCTCCCCCCACGCTCCGGCCTCTCTCCCCCCACGCTCCGGCCTCTCTCTCTCTCCCCCCACGCTCCGGCCTCTCTCTCCCCCCACGCTCCGGCCTCTCTCTCCCCCCACGCTCCGGCCTCTCTCTCCCCCCACGCTCCGGCCTCTCTCTCCCCCCACGCTCCGGCCTCTCTCTCCCCCCACGCTCCGGCCTCTCTCTCCCCCCACGCTCCGGCCTCTCTCTCCCCCCACACTCCGGCCTCTCTCTCCCCCCACACTCCGGCCTCTCTCTCCCCCCACACTCCGGCCTCTCTCTCCCCCCACACTCCGGCCTCTCTCTCCCCCCACACTCCGGCCTCTCTCTCCCCCCACACTCCGGCCTCTCTCTCCCCCCACACTCCGGCCTCTCTCTCCCCCCACACTCCGGCCTCTCTCTCCCCCCACACTCCGGCCTCTCTCTCCCCCCACACTCCGGCCTCTCTCTCCCCCCACACTCCGGCCTCTCTCTCCCCCCCCCCACACTCCGGCCTCTCTCTCCCCCCACACTCCGGCCTCTCTCTCCCCCCACACTCCGGCCTCTCTCTCCCCCCACACTCCGGCCTCTCTCTCCCCCCACACTCCGGCCTCTCTCTCCCCCCACACTCCGGCCTCTCTCTCCCCCCACACTCCGGCCTCTCTCTCCCCCCACACTCCGGCCTCTCTCTCCCCCCACACTCCGGCCTCTCTCTCCCCCCACACTCCGGCCTCTCTCTCCCCCCACACTCCGGCCTCTCTCTCCCCCCACACTCCGGCCTCTCTCTCCCCCCACACTCCGGCCTCTCTCTCCCCCCACACTCCGGCCTCTCTCTCCCCCCACACTCCGGCCTCTCTCTCCCCCCACACTCCGGCCTCTCTCTCTCCTCCCCCCACACTCCGGCCCTCCTCTCTCTCCCCCCACACTCCGGCCTCTCTCTCCCCCCACACTCCGGCCTCTCTCTCCCCCCACACTCCGGCCTCTCTCTCCCCCCACACTCCGGCCTCTCTCTCCCCCCACACTCCGGCCTCTCTCTCCCCCCACACTCCGGCCTCTCTCTCCCCCCACACTCCGGCCTCTCTCTCCCCCCACACTCCGGCCTCTCTCTCCCCCCACACTCCGGCCTCTCTCTCCCCCCACACTCCGGCCTCTCTCTCCCCCCACACTCCGGCTCTCCCCCCCACTCCGGCCTCTCTCTCCCCCCACACTCCGGCCTCTCTCTCCCCCCACACTCCGGCCTCTCTCTCCCCCCACACTCCGGCCTCTCTCTCTCCCCCCACACTCCGGCCTCTCTCTCCCCACACTCCAGCCTCTCTCTCCATATGAAACTGCGAATACATTTTCACCGCCATAAATGCTAACGTTAGCTTGTTACACCCGTAGCTCCTCGTAGCGACCCCTGTGAACCTCCTGGTGGTCTGACACTCACCGGTCCCTGTGAACCTCCGCCGGGTCAGGTACTCACCGGTCCCTGTGTGTCGAAGAACTTGCCGATGCTGTTCCTCAGTTTATTGAAGAGCAGAGGGTAGAGAGCCGGACTCAGCTCCATCCCCAGAAGATCCTTCACGTTGTTCCTGACGTGAAGTCCCACTCTGTCGTGTCCACAAACCAGCAGGGCCAGCAGCCGGTCCAGGAACCTGACACCAAGGGACACAGGAACATTGTTATTATTATATATTTTTTATGTATTATTTTTTTTGCAGGTATAAAGCGGAGTAGAAAGAGTGTGATTTCGCTAGAGCTGAAAGATTTTGACAAAAAAATCCAATTTATTTGTGTGTGTGAGTGTGTGTTTTGTTAGTATGGTATGGTTTTCATTTTTGCAGGGACAGAGTACAATACACATGAGCCAAAAGGAGAGATGCAGGCTGTAGCAGGTTTTAGAAGCAGTGCTAATCTACAGCTGTAGTCCCTGAGCAGATGATACATGACCATACATTATCAGACAGAAATTATAATTTAATAGTCATGTGTCGTGTTACTGCAAGTACTGTACATTTGAATTCTACTGCATGAGATTATCGGTGTTATTTTTATTCTTTAAACCCTGTGGCTTATACAGCGGTGCAGCAGTGTATTTTTATAGTGGTGGAGTGGTCAGAGTTTATGGACTTATTATTTTGACAATAAGCCAGTGTCCTAACGGTTTAGCTAATAGTGCTGTGTTTCTCTGCTACGTTACAATATTAAAAAACTGCGGCGGCCTATATCTGGGCAAAATACATTTTCTATTCAAAAGTAGGTGGTGCGGCTTATACACAGGTGCGCCTCATAGTCAAGAGACGGGCTTTTGTGCCTGTACTATTTTTATTACAAAATTAAATGTTAGATTGTGTAGAGCACATTGGATTCGTGCTTCATCCCACTCCCTTCTGAGCAGAATTAATAATGTTCAAACAAAATAACAATCAATGGATGTACGTCTGAAGTCCCCCACCTGCTGACGGGGCTCTCGTTGGAGGCGTTTGAGGCGTTGGAGGAGCAGGAGGAGCTGAGGCCGAGGGAGCCGTCGCAGAGGCCCATGGAGATCATGGAGTGTTTGCGCTCCGACATGGGGCCCATGGGGGGGCTGTAGGTGACGGGGCCCGGGGTGCTCCTATGCTGCAGACACACTCCCCCCAGAGCACACAGGAAGCCGGTCATGTTGATCCACTCCTGCTGCAGGAGGAGACCAGGAGGAGACCAGAGTCAGAGCCAGGAGGAGACCAGAGTCAGAGCCAGGAGGAGACCAGAGTCAGAGCCAGGAGGAGACCAGAGTCAGAGCCAGGAGGAGACCAGAGTCAGAGCCAGGAGGAGACCAGAGTCAGAGCCAGGAGGAGACCAGAGTCAGAGCCAGGAGGAGACCAGAGTCAGAGCCAGGAGGAGACCAGAGTCAGAGCCAGGAGGAGACCAGAGTCAGGGCCAGGAGGAGACCAGGGTCAGGACCAGGAGGAGACCAGAGTCAGAGCCAGGTGGAGACCAGAGTCAGAGCCAGGTGGAGACAGGGTCAGAGCCAGGAGGAGACCAGAGTCAGAGCCAGGAGGAGACCAGAGTCAGAGCCAGGTGGAGACCAGAGTCAGAGCCAGGTGGAGACAGGGTCAGGACCAGGAGGAGACCAGAGTCAGAGCCAGGTGGAGACAGGGTCAGGACCAGGAGGAGACCAGAGTCAGAGCCAGGAGGAGACCAGAGTCAGAGCCAGGTGGAGACCAGAGTCAGAGCCAGGTGGAGACCAGAGTCAGAGCCAGGAGGAGACCAGAGTCAGAGCCAGGAGGAGACCACATGGTCTCTTCCTGGTCTCTCTCTCTCTCTAGTCTGTCTCTCGCTCTCTCTCCAGTCTGTGTCTCTCTCCCTCTCCAGTCTGTGTCTCTCTCCCTCTCCAGTCTGTGTCTCTCTCCCTCTCCAGTCTGTGTCTCTCTCCCTCTCCAGTCTGTGTCTCTCTCCCTCTCCAGTCTCTCTCGTAGTCGTACATGAAATACTTAAACAGGACTGATACAGAAGTTTTTAGACACAGGCGGCAAAGTTACAGTTACAGTTAGTGCCAGACGTCCCTGTTTTCAGCGTGGATGGATCCAAAAACAACCCCAGGTCTGTGATGACGAACCAGTGCGTTCATAAATGTTACCTGTCCGTCGTCTGCTTTGTTTTTGGGGAAGTTGAGGATCTGTTTGGTGACTTGGTCCCACTTGGTGTACGTGCCCTCCCAGGCCTAGAGCAGAGGACGCATCAAAAACTGTCCCAAATCAAAAGAAAAACATGTAGAAATCTAAAAAGGAAGAAAGGAGAAAGGTTTTACATCGATGTTTCCCGGTGTGGGATGTTCCACTCTCCGTAACAAAGCCATGACTCTCTTCTGTAACGTCGATCGGCCTGAAACAGAACACAAACTTCAATAAGAGCTGTGTATTTATCATTAGCTCAAAATGCTAATGCTACTTTAAGAATCTGGAGTCGCTTCAAGTAAGACTTTTCAGTAAAATGCACAAGAAAATCCAGAACCAAACAGTTCAGAGAAACGGCCGAGGAGGAGATGATTTCCAACCGGAACATGTGAAAAAGACCAATTTTCATTTTTCCATATCCCATTGAAATTAATGAGCTCCCCGTTTGTCAGGGGGCGGAGCCATAATAACGGAACATGTGTATCGAGTTTCGTGGCTCTACGACAAACTTGACCTCCGACCTGCTTTTGTAGGGGGCGCTGTTTGGGCATTTTTTTTAGTCCCATAAAAATAAACACCCAAAAAAATTATTCTTTGCCGGTTCTGAATTTTGGGCAAAATTTCACAATTTTTCATCAATGTTCAGGGGGTCAAATTAACTGCTAATTTACACATCACGTGTTACACGCGCAGCAGACGCGCGTAACTTTTTTCCATGTTAACCTGGAGTCAGGAATCCACAGCTTTGTAAGATAAAATCCTCCGAGATCCCAGCTCCTGTGATTATGGGCAACACAGAGGTAAAACTAAAGTGGACTTTCAGGGCTGCACAAACACAAACTGCGTGGGACTGACCGGTGCCCATCATGTTGCTGACGGAGGCGAGCTCGCTGAAGGTGGGGTAGTTGGGGAGAATGTTCTGGACCGGGACCTCGTCTGCGGCGCTGCGGATGTCGGCCTCCTCGCACAAGTGCCTGAAGCAGGACATGGCGACCAGCACCGCCTCCGTGTCCGGGCTCCACAGGAAGCGGTACAGACACACCTCCAGGTTGGTCTGCGCCTGACGACACACGGGGATCGCACTGCCCATGGTCGCACACTCCTGCACACAGCACCACAACGGTCAGGCAGGAACAACACAACAACAACTCGGACTCTTTTAAGCCCTGAGTTGAAACTGAATTCAGACTGGGCTGGTTTTAAAAGTCATATCACGCTTTTCTTCATGTGTCACAGTCAATCCCGTACACATGTGTGAAAATAATGTGTGCGATACACCACACCACACAACACTCAAAACTGGTGAGATTAGAGCCATCTCTCGTATAGAGGTGACGTCACCTCAACTCAAACAGGCCGATCCAGAATCTGCTCCTCTGTGAGCCCGCCTCCCCCCACCCGCACGCTGACGTAGCATCACACTCCTGAGTTGTTTATCACCGGTACATAGTCATTTCAGACATAAGAATAAACTTTTTCCAACAATGACAATCCGTCACATCGAGCCCTATGTCCTCGCTGCAAAATCAGACCCTAATTATTTAGTTCACAGAAGTATACAGCGAGTTAGCGTCACTTTACTCACAGATCGGGGGTCCGTGTGTTATTGTCTTTTATCTTGGAAATAACACGTTTCCAGATCAGCCTTTGAGTAAGTTCAGTTCCATTGTCCCTGTAGTTTTGGAACAGTCTCAGTGAAGTGTCGCAGATTAAACTTTATTATAACAGATCCATGAGATAAACAGATGAAAAAAGTCGAGCCGCATTTTTCCTCTTCGGGGCAAATGGAGCGTCCATATTTACACCCAAAACACATGTTATCCAAGTTGACGTGATCCTAACACGTACAGTTGCTGACACAAAAACAGACAAACAGCAGCTGTAGTGTCCGCGGGACCAAACCACAGATACACTGGACTCGGGAGCCGGACTTGGGAGCTGGTATGGTATTTAAAAAAACATTATAAAAAAACATTTTAAATACCACGCAAACGGGCGTATGCGTGTCCTATTAGTCATCAGAGTGGTTATCGTCTCTGAAGTGGACCCGAGCGTTTCTGTGCCTCTCGAGGGTGAAGGAGAAAGATCGCTCTCTTACTAAAGATTGACAGAATCAATGAAAAAACTACTCATGTTTAAAGCAGAGAAAAGTCAAAAAGCGTAATATGGGCCCTTTAAACACGAACTGGAGAGATTTTTTGAAAACAAACCAGTTGTGTGATCATTAATGAGTTGGAGGACACCTGCTTTTGTATAATGTGAATATTGTAATGTAAAATGTGTTTCTAAGTGTGTTAAAAACCCTCCTAGGAACAGACATTGCAAATTAGCCTCGGCTGTAAATGTTGTAGTGCTTCACATGTTGGTTGTGTAACACTTGTCCCTATCAAATAAATCAATCATAAATTCCCTCCTGCAACTACATGTGCAGATGTAAACATACAACTATATAATTCTGCACTAGAATACACTGTTTTATTTATACCTGTTTCTTTATTATGCTAAAGTTGGAGAACTCAGACTTGATTTCATTATCCTCATTACAGCAGCGAGGTCTTAAATCCAGGAGAAAGATGAGACTATATTTTTAACCTTTTTAACATGTTAGCTTCTGCAAAGAGACAGGAAGTGAGCAGAGTGATTCTATCTGAGCCAAATGTGACGTGCACCTTTCCCCCATTGTCCATCCATCCATCCATTTTCTTCCGCTTTATCCGTTGCCGGGTCGCGGGGGCAGCAGTCTAAGCAGAGACGCCCAGACTTCCCTATCCACACACACCTCCTCCAGCTCGTCCGGGGGGACCCCAAGGCGTTCCCAGGCCAGCTGAGAGACATAGTCTCTCCAGCGTGTCCTGGGTCTTCCCCGGGGCCTCCTCCCGGTGGGACGTGCCCGGAACACCTCCCCAGGAAGGCGTCCAGGAGGCATCCTGAACAGATGCCCGAGCCACCTCAACTGGTTCCTCTCGACGTGGAGAAGCAGCGGCTCTACTCCGAGCTCCTCCCGTGTGACTGAGCTCCTCACCCTATCTCTAAGGGAGCGCCCAGCCACTCTGCGGAGGAAGCTCATTTCGACCGCTTGTATACGTTCTTTCGGTCATTACCCAAAGCTCATGACCATAGGTGAGGGAGGGAACGAAGATTGACCGGTAAATTGAGAGCTTTGCCTTTCGGCTCAGCTCCCTCTTTACCACAACGGTCCGATACAGCTTTGACTGCAGACGCTGCTCCCTCTTTACCACAACGGTCCGATACAGCGACCGCATCACTGCGCACGCTGCACCGATCCGCCTGTCAATCTCACGCTCCATCCTTCCCTCACTCGTGAACAAGACCCCGAGATACTTGAACTCCTCCACTTGAGGAAGGACCTCTCCACCCACCTGAAGAGGGCAAGGCACCTTTTTCCGGTCGAGCACCATGGCCTCGGATTTGGAGGTGCTGATTCTCATCCCAGCCGCTTCACACTCGGCTGTAAACCGTCCCAGTGCATGTTGCAGGTCCTGGTTCGTTGGAGCCAGCAGGACGACATCATCCGCAAAAAGTAGAGATGAAATCCTGTGGTTCCCGAACCGGACCCCCTCCGGCCCCTGGCTGCGCCTAGAGATTCTGTCCATAAATACAGTGAACAGAACCGGTGACAAAGGGCAGCCTTGGCGGAGGCCAACATGCACCGGGAACAGGTCTGACTTACTGCCGGCAATGCGGACACAGCTCTGGCTCCGGTCATACAGGGACCGAACAGCCCTCAGCAGAGGACCCCGGACCCCGTACTCCCGGAGGACCCCCCAAAGGACACCCCGGGGAACACGGTCGAACGCCTTCTCCAAATCCACAAAGCACATATGGACAGGTTGGGCGAACTCCCATGAACCCTTGAGTATCCGATGGAGAGTGTAGAGCTGGTCCAGTGTTCCGCGACCGGGATGAAAACCACACTGCTCCTCCTGAATCCGAGATTCGACCATCGGACGTAGCCTCCTCTCCAGTACCTTGGAGTAGACCTTACCGGGGAGGCTGAGGAGTGTGATCCCACGATAATTGGAACACACCCTCCGGTCCCCCTTCTTGTAGAGAGGGACCACCACCCCGGTCTGCCACTCCATTGGCACCGCCCCCGATCGCCACGCGATGTTGCAGAGACGTGTCAGCCAAGACAGTCCTACAACATCCAGAGACTTTAGATAGTCAGGACGGATCTCATCCACTCCCGGCGCCTTGCCATCATGGAGGCTGCCAACCACCTTGGTGACCTCGGCCAGGGAGATGGAAGTATCCGCCCCAACATTCTCAGCCTCTGCCTCCTGGACGGAGGACGTGACGGGGGGATTGAGGAGAGCCTCGAAGTATTCCTTCCACCGCCCGACAATATCCCCAGTCGAGGTCAGCAGCCCTCCACCCGCACCATACACTGTGTTGGTAAAGAACTGCTTCCCCCTCCTGAGGCGCCGGACGGTTTGCCAGAACCTCTTCGAGGCCGACCGATAGTCATGCTCCATGGACTCTCCAAACTCCTCCCAGTCCCGGGTTTGTGCCTCTGCAACAGCCCGGGCCGCGGCACGTTTGGCCTGCCGGTACTGGACAGCTGCCTCAGGAGTCCCACGAACCATCATTGCTCGATAGGACTCCTTCAGCCTGACGGCATCCCTTACTGCCGGTGTCCACCACCGGGTTCGGGGATTGCCGCCGGGACCAGCACCAGAGACCTTGCGACCACAGCTACGAGCCGCCGCATTGGCGATAGAGGAAGAGAACGTGGTCCACTCGGACTCGATGTCCCCCTCCTCTGCCGGGACCTGGGAGAAGCTCTCCCGGAGGTGTGAGTGCAAAGTCCGTCTGACAGGGGGCTCAGCGAGACGTTCCCAGCAAACCCTCACTACACGCTTGGGCCTGCCAGGTCGGACCGGCCTCCTGCCCTGCCAGCGGATCCAACTCACGACCAGGTGATAATCGGTTGACAGCTCCGCCCCTCTCTTCACCCGAGTGTCCGAGACACGCGGTCGAAGGTCAGATGATACGACTACAAAGTCGATCATCGACCTCCGGCCTAGGGTGTCCTGGTGCCACGTGCACTGGTGGACACCCTTGTGTAAGTAAGTAAGTAGTAGTAAGTAAGTAAGCTTTATTTATATACCGCCTTTCACAGACCAGAGTCACAAAGCGGTTTACAGTTGTTATTTTTTGGGCACTTGTCTCTCACTCCACACAGAGATGGGAGCGGGGTCGCCGAACAGGAGGCGCATGCCAGACCTATTGTACATATTTTTAGTAGGACTCCTTCAGCCTGACGGCATCCCTTACTGCCGGTGTGCTCGAACATGGTATTCGTGATGGACAAACCGTGACTAGCACAGAAGTCCAACAACTGAACACCGCTCGGGTTCAGATCAGGGGGGCCGCTCTTCCCGATCACCGCTCTCCAAGTGTCACTGGCGCTTCCCACATGGGCGTTGAAGTCCCCCAGGAGAATAACGGAGTCCCCGGGCGGTGCACTGTCCAGTACCCCTCCCAAGGACTCCAAGAAGGCCGGGTACTCTGCACTACCGTTAGGCCCGTAGGCCGTCACAACAGTGAGAGACTTGTCCCCCACCCGGAGGCGGAGGGACGCGACCCTCTCATTCACCGGGGAGAACTCCAACACGTGGCGGCTGAGATGGGGGGCAATGAGTATGGCCACCCGAGCTCGCCGCCTCTCCCCGCGGGAAACACCAGAAAAGTGGAGCGTCCAACCCCTCTCAAGGAGTTGGGTTCCAGAGCCCAAGCTGTGTGTGGAGGTGAGGCCAACTATCTCTAGTCGGTATCGCTCTACCTCCCCCACAAGCTCGGGCTCCTTCCCCCCCAGTGAGGTGACGTTCCACGTCCCAAGAGCCAGATGTTGGGTGTGTGGACTGGGTCGTCGAGGTCTCCGCCTTTGACTGCTACCCAGTCCTTGCTGCACCTCGCCACCACGGACCCCTCTGCAGGTGGTGGGCCCACAGGAGCCATTGTGAGATTAATAAAAGTTTATGTTTTTTATATTTCACGCATTTTTTGGCTATTCAAAATGACAACTATGTCCTTTAATGTCAACGAATGTGGAATAATGTCTTCAGTAGAACATTAAGTGACTAAATTATCAATGTAAAACAGGGCGATCTGCCTGCAACTCCCCATGCAGCCACCAGAGGGCGGAAGTAGCATTTGTTTTTATCCCCCAGATTTGAAAGACATTTTCCAAAACCAGTGGGGGCGGGTCCCGGCTCAAAAGTGTCCAAAATGATGTGCGCCGGGCCGATGGGGGTGGACCCGGAATAAGAATTAGCCAATGCTAACATATAGCGTTGGCAGACCTCTGGAAAACACCTTTACAGGATGGTCCAAAAGTTGGCTCTTGGCCCAAAGCTCCGTTCCACATGCGTGTCAATGCTGAGGGAGTGTTCTGGACCAGTCTAGTTTAGCTGCTGTGAACTTTTGAAGTCTCTCGTTCAAATGAATGGAGCTTGTGCAGATGTGTTTTTTCATAATTTCCAGCCCACGCGGCCATTTTGAAACTGCCCATAGACAGTAGGGGTGCAACGGTTTGAAAAAAATCACGGTTCGGTTCGTACCTCGGTTCAGAGGCCACAATTCGGTTCATTTTTCGGTTCATTTTTCAAAAATAAAGTGTTGTCTTTTTAATAAACACAGCTCATGTGGACTCGGCACCTGCTCTGACTGCCCCCCCTGACCTAGAAATGAATTAAGGGGAAGGAAATGGATGGATGGATGGATGGAATATTCCATCCATCCAATTATGTCTATTTAACATAATTAATGAAAAACAACACAAAGTGCAACATAAGAAGGCACTTAAAGTAGGATATTTCTACTCATAATATTACACCACCTTCCTGATTCGAGGAGGCGCTCCCATTCATGTGCCCAGCCGCATAGTCACGTGCATTTATTTAATTGTTGGCACTTATCAGTTGTGACTTGACGGGATATTAGTACTGGGCCTTTGTCTTCCATTCCTTCCGCGCTGCTTGTGTCAGGAACTGCGGCTGCTGTGACTGTCGTAGAGGGGCGCTGGTCTGGCAGCGCCAGACTTTTCATCTCCCAGTCTGCGGTGATGAAGTGAGGCGGTTTCCGCTCAAACAGTGGATCTATTATAGTTTCCGCGGGACGTCCAAGCGTTCAGTCGTGAGCGCAGCAGAGGGATGCGCGGAGAGTTGACTTATAGCCCGTCCTGACTGTGCGTAAAAGGAGCTGCTTAAATGCCGCGACAAGTAGGCGGTTCCGTTGAGACGCTTTTTTTTTCATGTCTTTCTTGTGCCACAGTGCTACACACTCGTGAACAGTTTTGTCCGCATAATTAAATTATTCAGTGTAGTTACAGTGAAGCCGAAAATGCTCTCTACTGGGTGATTTAAATGACGCAGGGCTTTTCAAGCAACTCCGTTCCGTCCGCTCGCAATGACCGCGCTGTGTGTGGACTGAACAACGGCGCACAACTTTTTTTTCATAAATCAAACCGCGGATCACGTCTGTACCGAACCGAAGACGTTGAACCGAACGGATCACGGATCAGTGATGAACCGTTGCACCTCTAATAGACAGTGGAAGTTGTGCAAACTAATGTATGGTTTTAACAGATTAAGAGATTGTGACAGCCAAACTGAAAAAATATGTATTGAGTATTTATTCAGATTCAAAAGACTCATTAACTGAAAATCACATTAATGATGCTTGTTTTTTGATGACAAGTTTTTTTTGTTGCTTGAATGTAGTTTGTCATAATATTATTTTACTAGTTTTAAGATACTTCATAATCTTTAGGAGCAGCGAGTTTTTAAGCATGTTTTAAGTATTTTTTCTTTAGAAAGGAGGAAAGAGGGAGGAGGAAAGGGAACGTAAACGGGGGGAAAGGCGTGAGAAGGAAGAAAGGAAGAGAAGGGGGAAGAGAGGAAAGGGGCGAAGGAGGGCAGGAGGGGAAGCAAGGAAGAAAGAGTAAGAGAAGGAGGACGGGGGTGAAGGGAGTAACGGAGGGAACAAAGGAGAAGAGGGAGGGGGAGAGGAAGAACGAGGTGGAGAGAAGAGAGGAGGGGAACGAGAGGAGAGGGGGGTACAAAACCGGCAGGGGAAAGGGGGGAAGGGTAGGGCACGACGGGACAGAAGCCAGGAAGGGCGGGGTTGCGGTATTGGGCCGCGAGGGGCGGTACCGGTGTTTCGTATCGCTATTCCCCTTTCTTTCTGCTTGGTCCTTTCTTCTCCCCAGCACCTGTTTCCCTCCCCACTCTCCAGCCAGCCGCCCCTCTCCGTGTTCGCCCTACTGAGGAGCCCGACTCTTCGCTTTGCCCGATCTAGCTTCCCTTTCTCCCTTTCCCCCGTTTCTTGTACCTGGGTTTGCTGCATGACTCCCTTTCTGAAGCTCCGTGAGTCGTCGCCACGCTGCGTCCTCCATTACGTCTTCTGTCGCCGTCTCGCTATCTCTTCTAACGTCCCTGTAACCCACATTTATCCCTTTGTGTCACCCGGTATCTACTTGTTGTTTTCCCCTCCACATGACGCGTTTAGCCTTTCCTTTGCTCGCTCTCTATCGTTTTTCTCCGTCCTTCTGTTTTTCGTTCCTGCTTGCTCCCTTCCCCTCCTTGTCTCTTCCCTCTCCCCCCTGTGTTCCTACCGTTTTGCCTTGCCCTTATTAGGTGGTGCCGCTCCCCCGCCCGTTTCGCTTCCCTTACTTCCTTGCTACGCTTCGTTTCGTCGGTCAGCCTCTTCTCCCCCATACCCTTCCTGTTCCTCTTTCACTCCCCTACGGCCGTCTATCTTTCCGGCTAAAATACCCAGTTTTTTTCCCCCCTCCCTGCCCTTTCTCTTCTCCCTTTCTCCGACGGCCTCGTGTGCCCTTGCCCGTAGTCCGAATTCCATTTTCCTTCTTACCCCTTCGCTTTTTATCCCTTATCGTTCTCTCCTATATCATTCTTTTCTACTACCCTTCTGTCATTGCCCCGCCCCCCCCCCTGTCCTTCTTCCTGTCGACTCCTCGTTCCCCCTGTTTGCCCCCTCCTCCTCGTTTCGTCTCGCTCCTTCGCCCTCGACCCCTCCACTCCCTTTGTGCTCTGTCCCGTTATTTCATTCCCGTGCTTCCTCCTATTCTCCCTCATGTGCTTTTCCCTGCTTCGACTTTTTCTCCTACGTTCCCGTTTTTCCAGTTCCGTCCTCCTACTCGCCTCTTTTTCCTCTCCTGCCCGGCCTCTTCCTCTCCTTCCAACTTGCCCCTTTGTCTTCTCTTCTGGGACTCAGTCACACTGTCCGCCCCTCCACCATTCGCCCATATACTCTGGGTTCCCTCTAATCCGGCTTTACCCCCCACCGGTCTTCGCCTGTTCTGCTCTGTTCCTTCGCTGTCATCGTTGTCCATTTTTCGCTCTGGCGCCTCTTGCTCGATCGCTTCCCCCCTTCTCTTCCTGGCCGCCTTATCCTCCTTTTTCGTTCCTCTTTATATCTGGTTTTGCGCCCTCTAGCTCTCTGCGCGTAGTCTTTATGAAGTCCTGCCTACCTCCTTTACGTTTAACTTCACGTCCCGCTTTTAGCCCTTCCCCCTCCCGTCTACTCTTCTCCCCGCTGCCTTCGCATCTCTCGTCAGCCTCTCCCCGGTCGTGTCCCGACTTTTCCAGCCTTTTTTCCCTCCCCTAGTCTTGACTCCTCGCTCGCCCTGCCTCTCTCTTCTCTTCTTTAGTTCCTTATTTTCGTCAAACGGCGCCGGGCCTGTTGCGTCCGTTTTCCGTTCTTTGAGCCAGACTCATTCCTTTGGCCTCTCTCTCTCCCTTCCTCCCACTTGTCTTCTGTTATCGCTTTTTTCTCTTTAATATCGCCCATACCCGCTACCTTCGTCCCGCCGGGCCTCCCGCCTGTTCTTTGTCACCTGCCGCTTGACCGCTTTGGTGAGTTATAAGCCTTCTCCACTCCGATCTTTATCACAGTTCCTCCTCAGCTCTTCCTGATGGCCCGGTTTTCCTACTGCACGGTCTCTGATCTCTTCCCTTGTCTCTTTCCTTCGGGATCGTTTTTCTTCTTTTCTGCCTCCTTCTCCGGGACTCCTCATTCATCCACCTTTCCCTCACGCTTTCAATCTTCCCTCCTTTCGCTTTTTCCGTCACCCCTCTCTTCTGATTCTTCTGTCTTGTTCATTTCTTCCCGTCCTATTTTCGCCTTCCTGCTAGACCCATTACTTCGCGATTTCTTCCAAGACTTCCCCGCCTTTCTTCCTTTTCCTCCCTTCTGCCGCCCTGTCTTCTTTTTCTTACTTTCTTGATCGCCCACCTTCTCTGTCGTCCTCCACCTTCCGGCCGTTCTTCCACTTCTCGCCTGTTGCCCATTCCTTCACTTTCTACTTCTCTCTTGCTCTCTTTTTCCTTCTTCCTTTCCCACCCACCTGTCTGTCTCCTTGGTTCTCTTCCTGTCGTTTCTTCCCTCCCCCTCTCTCGGTCCCCCCCTCAATCCTCTTCGCTCGTCCCCTCTACCTTCGTTATCCTTTGTTCTTTTTTGGGTCCCTACTCTGTCCCTTCTGCACTCTTGGTTGTCCTTTTTCTTCCTTGCTTCCTCTATGCTTTTCTCCCCCCCCCGCTCCTTCGATTTTCTATCTCCTCTGTTCGGGTCTTCCGGTCGTGTCCTCCCTTTCCCCGCGCTTTCTTTCTCCCCCTTTTCCTCCGCATTCTCTTCCTGTTTCGTGGTCTTCCCTGCCTTCTTTTCTCCTTCCCGCATCCTTTGTCGTCCTGTCCTTTCCCTCCCTACTTCTTCTCCATCACTGGTCGTAGCCGCTTCTTCGTACTGCTCTCCCACTTGTCTACTCTCTCGCTGGCTCCCGTCACCCTTTCCTGGTCCGTTCCATCCTGCATAATCCTTGTTTTCCCCCTCCCTGCCCTCCCCTTGGTTGTTTCCGGGGCTTCCGTCTGTTTCTCTCTCCATCGTTCTTCGTTCTATCCCTGCTTCCCCGGGCCCGGATTCTCTTACCCTCTCCCCGGCTCCCGACTCGTTGGTACTCAGTCCTCCTTGCATGCCCATTCGCTGTGCCTTTTAGTTGCCTGCCTGCCCTCTTGGTCCGCACACTTGCCCCTTCTTCCCATGTCGAGCTTGCTGGTCCCTGCTTGCTTTCTATATTACCGTGCATCGGCGCCCCCCTACCCTCCCTTCCCATTGCTTCCGTCCTTCGACCGCCGGTCGTTTCCCCGCTCTCTTTGCTTTTGCCCCCCCCGTTGGCCCCCTCCGCCTGTTTCCCCCTTTCCCTTTTTTCCTTTTTTGCTCTGTCTCCTGCTTTGTCTCTCCGTCTCGCCCTTATACTCCCCTACGGCCGCGTGCTCCCTCTTTCCCTGCCCCTTTTTTGCTTTCTTTCCTCTCTCTCTCCGTTCCCTGGCTTTGCGCTCCCCCCCTCTGTTTCGGACTGTGGCCTCCTGCGTATTTCCTCACTCTTCTGGTATTTCACCTCCGCTACACTGCTTCACCCCGTCCCTGATTCTCCTTGTCTCCCTCCTTTAGTCACCCTCGTTTTTCCCGTGCCTTCTTCTTTACCCTGCCATTCACCGCCTCCGCTATCCTGCCCCCCCCCCGTTTCCCTCGGTGTTGCTGTTTTGTTTCTGTGTCAAACTCGCACTCACCCGTCCCGTCGTTACTGTGCATCCCCGTGAACTCCCCGTGTTGTTCCTCCTGCCGTTCTTCTCGCCTTCCTCTCCCTGTCTCGTGGGTCCTCTTTGCTCTTTCCCCTTTAGATCAGACGGGCTCTGCTCTCTCCTTGTCCGTTTCAACCACTCCTCTCCCACCTACACTTCGCACCTTTCCGGTTACTGTTGTGACATTCTTGTACTCGGTGCACTACCGCTCTCTCCTTACTTTCCACCTCCCGATCTGTTCTTCCCGCTGGTGTATTGCGCTTTTCCCTATACCCGGTGTCTCGGGCTCCCTGGGTTTCGTTTCGCTGCCCCGCCCTCGGGCCCCCCTCTTTCTGCTTGTTATCGTTTCGTCTTCCTGTCCCGTCCGTCTTGCTTCTAGTCGCTTCTCTCGGTTGTTCGCCCCCTCCTCCTGCCCTTGTTTTCCACTCTGCACCCCTTTCCTCCCTCCTTTCTGTTCGCTGCGCACGCACCGCCTGTCTCCCTCTCTCCGCGTTGCGTTTTCGTCGGTGTCTCCCTTCCCCTTTCCCATTCGCCGCTGTGTTGGCTTTTCCTGTATGGTCGATGGTGTCCCCCTCTGTTTGTGTCTTCTCTCTTCACCCCCAGCCCTTGTTCGCTCTCCTGTCGCTCTCTCCCTACTCTCTCCTCGCCACTTGCCACCTTGCCGTCTCTTTCAGGCTCCATTAACCCTCCATTTGTTTTTTCCAGTGTTCTGTCTCTCGAGTCCCTACCCTTCCCCGTTCTCTCTCTTTTTCTCGCACTCTTCCAGCCTTCTCTTTCTCTCCTCTTTCCTTGCTCTTCCTGCTGTCTCAATCGCGCCGTCCCTTCTTTTATCATGCCCGCTTCCGTCGTCGCGGCCTCTGGTCCGTCTCTCCTTTGCCCTCCTTTCCTCCCCGCTTGATTTCGCTCCTTCCACCCTTCCACCACCCCCCTCTTCCGAGTTCGTTCATTATTCGCACGGCAAACTTTCGGGGACTTAACGTTTCTTGTTTTTTCTTTTGCGCTCGCAATCCCGGCTACCTTCCTGAACAAACCCCCTCGCGCCCGATTTTGCGCCCTTTATGTTTTCTTTCTCGCCGTTGCGGGTTCGAACCTTTTGCCCGTCCGCCTGGCTCTACTGTATTGCCGTTTGTGTCCGTACGCCGTCCTCCTGTTTCTGTACCTCTGGGGACACTGACTGCTCTGTTCTCTTCTTACTTTCTTCCTCGCGAGACACCCCTCTGTTCTTCTAACTTCTCCTGTTTGCTACCCCTCTCTGACTGTCCGTTTTCTCCGCATCTCTTCCTCTCGCGCTACTCTCTTCGTTTCCCCTATGGTACTTTCTAGTCCTCCTCCACTTCCGTGTCGCCATTTTTTATCTCCCTTTTGGAAGTATCCCTTCTGCTCGTCCGGTTTCCCTCGTCATTCTGTTCTTGTGTAACCTTTCGCTGTACTTCCCGCCGTTATGTTTGCTCTTATCAGGTCCCTATCTTTAACGTTCTGTCGATCGAAACCGCTTCTCTTTTCCATCCTCCTCTCCCCCTCTACCTGTGCTCTTCTCTCTTCTCGCGCGTTGGCTTCTCTCTAACTCCGCCCCCCTTCCTTTAAACCATCGGCTTCTGATCGTTCGTTGTTGTCGCCTCCCCCCCCGACGCGTTGCGTCCTACGCTGTCCGTCCTCTGCCTGTGACGTCTATTATCGGTCTTTTTCTCGTCTCTCTCCCTTACCTTTCCTGTTTTCCCTTCTTCGTCGCTTTTCTTCTTTCTCTCGGCATGCGCCCTCCGGACCTCACCCGCCGCCCATCCTTCTCGTCCTTCCCCCATCTGTCGCCCCAAACTTTACTTTGCTCTTTTGCTTTGGTTCCTCCTCTGCTCGTTCCCTCCTCTCTGCGTAGAATCTCCCTCCCGTTTGGCTGGTTTCTCCGCTATGGTTCTTTTTCCCGCCTCTCTGAACTTTCTGCTCCAGTTCCCCTCCTACGTCGGCCGCTCACTGTCTGCTACTTTCGCCCTTCCTACCAGCCCCCGTCTCATCGGTCCCCTACGTCTCCTTGGTCCGTCTTTTTTTCTTTTCCTCCGTGTTCCCTTTCGGCTTCCCTCTTTCTCGCACTCTTGGTCCCATCCTCTCTGTCTCTTTTCGGCCCCCCAGCCCTTCCCTCTTTCTCTCTCCTTCCTTCCCCCACGCTAGCTTTCTTTCTCTGGCTTTTGTTGTTCCCCATTTCGCGATACCTCATTCTTTCTGTTGCGGTCTGTGTCTTGCTTACTCGCGTGCTGTCGTCTCCCTTTGATTTGGCATCTGGCTTTTCTTTCTTCTCTTTCATCTTCTAAGTGGCTTGTCGCTTTCTCGGCTGCTTGTCCCCGTCCTCTGTCTCTACCGCCTTCCTCCCATGACAGTCCCGTCTCCTTCTATCTACTGTCTGCGTGTTCCTCTCTGCCGCCTCTCCGCGCCCCTTCTGATCGACGTTTGCCTTTCTTCCGTCTTTTTTGTTGTTGTTTGCAGTGTCCCCCCCCTCCAGGTTTTCCCCCGTTCCTGACTCCTCACCTGCCTTTCTTTTCTATTGCCCTACCGTCCCCTCGGTTTCGCCAAACATTCTTCCTTCGGGCCTGTACCATCTTCGCGCTGCCCTCTTCTCCCCCTTAGGGCGTGCTCTCCTCGCGCGTTACTTCTCTCTCTTCCATCCTCAAACTCTATGGGCGCGCCGTCGACCCGCCTGGAGCCGTTCTTTCTTTGTTCCTCCCGTCTCTTGTTCTCGTCTGTGTCGGCTTTGCTCCCCTCTTTCTCCATCGTTGCTGCTGGCCCCACATCCTTGTCCCCCCCTTGCGGTCTTCGGCGTACTCGTGCCTTTTGTCTCGCCTTACTCCTTGGTGAATTACTTTATGGAATATTTGAAAACGCGTGGACCTACATTAACTATATACTCGGCGCGGCGCCGCCTGGTCCCTACCTGCGCCTCCCTACCGGTCCGGTTTCTAGTTTCTACTTTTCCTGGTATGTTGTGGCCCCTGGACCCTTGTCGTCTACCCCGCGCCGCTCTGGCGCTATTCGTGGCCCTGTGTTTTAACTCCTTCCGGCCGGTTCTATTGCCGGCCTCTGCCTTCCTTCACTTCCTTCTGCGTTTCTGTCACTTGTCGCCTTCCCCCCCCCCTCCATTGTGCCCTCCCTCCCTTCTGACCTCCTCCCGGTTTCCCCTCTTTCGCTTCTCCTCTCAACAGTCTTTCGCCCTCGTTACCTTTGATCTCCTTCTCCTGCTTTTTATGAGCCTCGTTCCATCGCTTTGCTCGCTCTCTCCCGTCGCGCTCTTTTTACGGTGTTTCTCCTCTTCGTCTGTCGTCTGCTCCCGCCCCCTCGTGCGCTCCCAGTACATTCCTGTCTCTCTCTCTTCCCCCGTTCGGCCGCCCCCATTCCGTCCTCCCATCCCTTCACCGCCCTTTCATTTACCTTCTGTAGCCCTCTGCCCCCCTGCTTCTGCGCCTATTTCTCCTCTCGTACGCGCGTATCTTGCCCTTACTGTCGTCTCCCCCCCGGCTGTTTCTTCTCCCCATATTTCTGCGTCCCGCTCCCCTCGCGACTGTTACTCCCTCTTTTCCTCTCCTCTCCTTGTCTATCGTCTGCCCGTCCTTTCTCGCCTCACCCTTCCCCCCTGCCAATCTTGCTGTCGCGTCGCGCCTCTCCCGTCTTCATTTGCTGTGTGCGTCTTGCCTGTTAGTCTACTGCTGCGTTTTCCTGGGTTTTTTCCCCTCTCTTTTGACGGCTCCCATGTCGTGTCTCGGCCCCCCTGTCCTCGGCACCGCCCTCCCTCGCTTGCGTTGTCATACACTTATGTACCCCTCTTTTCCGTGTTGCCTTGCCTTTTCCGCTTCTTCTCATGACCTCGCTAGTGCTTCTCTCATCCTCCTCGAGTCCCCGCCTTTCTCGGACCGCTGCGACCTCACTTGCTGTCACTTCCTAGTCCTCCCCCTTGCCGCCCCGCCTTCTCCTCGCCTCGCTTCTGACCGCGTCTGTTCGGTCTTCTCTTCCTGTCTGCTCTCTCCCTCGCCGTACTGTCCTCTGACGTAACATCCCCTGTTCCCATCATTCCCGTTATTCTCGGTATTATGCCGCCGTTCCCTCTCGGGTTCCTAGGTGTACGTCGTCCTCCGCTTTAACTGGCCCCCCTTTCGTTCTGACGCGGAACTACCTTTCCTTTGCCCTCTGACGTTTCCGTCTTGTCCGCTCTCTCGTGGACATCCGTCTCTACTCCCCCCTCTCTATTCCTGGAATACCCGTCCCCTCCGTCTTCGTGACCCTACCCCTCTGGCTCGTCTCCTGCCCCCTCGTTTGCTCTGGAGGCACCGTCGGTGTTTTTTTGAGCGCCTTCATCCTGCGTTCCGGTCTTTCGTGGCCTCCGCATTGGGTTCTTTCTGCTGCTCTTCCCAGAGGTGCGTCCCTTGGCCTCTTGTTTTTTCTGCCTTCTCTTCTTGTCTCTGTTCGCATATCCGCCCTTCCCCTCCATTAGTCTCCCCTGCCCCGTGACCCCTTTATGTCCGTTTACGTTGCGGGGTTCTGTTTTGTTCCGGTTGCTGATCCGCTCTCTCTGTGCTGCCTTCGCTCAGCTCTGCCAGCTCTAGCTCTTCCTACTCTTGTTTGGTTATCCTTTACCCGATCCCTGGAGCCTCCCTGGTCTTGCCTCCTTTTATGCTGTGCGTCCCTCGTTGCGCTTCCTCTTTGGCCCGCTCTGCTTCGTCGCTTTCTCTTTCTTTCTGTGCCTCCCGCGCGCTCGCGCCGTTCCCTCGGCTATCCTTTCTTGCGGGTGTTTCTCTACTTTGTCCTGCCATGTCCCTCTTTCATCGACTCCTTCTCCGTCTTTTCTCGTGGCATGCCCTCGCTCCCGCTGTTCCCTCCATGCGGCTTACGCGCCCTTTCGCCTTCTCTGCTCTCGGCCGCGGCATTGGTCCGCACGCAACTGACTCATGTCCTGCGTTGTCCGTTACTCTTTCTTTCGCTCTCCTGCGCCCCTCCGTGCTCTTTCAGCTGGTGGCTTATGTCTTTGTGCCTGACCCTCTTTCGTGCCGTCCTGCCCGCGTACCGCCTAGCTCGTCCCCGTGCTCTTGCCGTCTTCATCCGTGCCGGCTTTCTATTCGTTTCACCAGGGTCTTCCCTTCGCTCGTCTGCTCCCCACCCCTTTTTTACGCTGAGTCTCCTCCGCTAACTCTCCCCCCCTCTACTTGCGCTGCGCCTTCCTACCTTTCTCTTCCGGTTCGTCTTCTACTTACCTCATTTGCTACATTAGACCTGTTTGCGCTTCGGGTCGTTCTTTTACGTTCCTCTTTGTGCTGTTCTGCCGCCCCTTCTCGTCCCTTCTCGTTTGCTCCCTACCTCTGCGCCGTCCTTCCCGTCCCCCTCCTCTCCCGGTGCGCCCTCTGGCTCCCCTCCCCACGCGCACTTGACTCTCTGCCTCTCACTACCTCCGTTGCTTCGATCCTCTAGGTTTCGGTGGTCCTGCTCTCTTTCTCTACTCCGATTCTTTTTCGCCGCACCGCTTTTCTCTGTCGTCCCTTTGTGTATTTCTTCGACTTTTCGTCCCCTTTCCTGCGCGGTTTGTTTGCCTGCTCCTCTTCCATCGGCCTCCGGCAAATTCTCGACTTTGTGGCCCTTCTATTCTGTTCTTTTTGTCTTGCTCTTGCCCCTGCCTCGGGCTGCTTCTCCTTACTCGTCGTTGGTGTGCTACTTTCCCCCCGGGTTGACCCCCCCATGTCTCCCCACCTCCGCCTGGACAACTCCCTGGTTTTGCCTTTACTGTGCCCCCCGTGGTTTCATCCAACTCCACTCTCTCACATATCCTAGTGCCCTCTTTCTGCTGCCTTACGCGCCTCTGCCTCGTCGCTCCCCTTTCCGTTTGCTCAGGCTTCTCAATTTTCGTCCTTGTTCCGCTGGCCCCCCGCGCCTGGTTTGCTCTTAGTCTCCTGTGGTCTCCCCCCCTCCTCTTCGCTGCGTCCACGGGGCCTGTCTGTTTCTCTGTCCTGCTTTGATGAACGCTCGGCCTGGTCTCGATTCCATACTCTTTCTCTGCGTCATCTCTCCCTCTCAGTCCTACTCATTTTCGTACGCGGCCCCCTCTCGCCGAGCTCTCCCTTTCCTGTCACGCCCGTCCGTCTTTGTTCCCGCTTCGGCGAGTCTTTGCCCCCGGATTGACGCCCTGCGTTACTCGTTTTCTCCGTTCTCGCCACTTCTCGTCTTGCTCCTGACGTTTTCGCTCTCCGTCCTGCCTCCTCGCTGTTTTTGTTCGCACCACCCACTATGCCGCTCCGCGCCGGCCGTTTCAGCTCGCGGGCGCCTCTACGGGCACGTCTTCGCCTTTTGGCTATCCCTTTTGCGTGGCCCCTGTATTTTTCGGCTGTTCCCGGCCCTTTCTTTTTTCACTGCTCTGGCCCGTCTCGTGATCCTCTGCCCTTCGCCCTTCCCTATTTCCCAGCTTTGCCCCTGCTTCCCCCCTTTTCCTGGTTGCTCTGCTTTTCTCTTGCCCTTCCCCTTCCTTCGAGCTGCCTGCTCGGTTTTTGTCTCCTTCCTGATGGCCCTTTTTGCTTTGCCGTTTAGTGTTGCGCGTACCTTTATGCTGTGCCCCGCCGCTCTTGGTCCCTTCTCTACTGGTTTCCTGGTCGCTTCTTAGCTCGTCCATTGCTTGCTTCGCCATCTCGTTGCCTGTACCAGGCCCCGCGCACGCGTGGCTGCGGTAGCGTCCCTCCCTCCGCATTTGCCGGCCTACAGCTGCCCCCTGCCCGCCCTCTAGCCTGTCCGGCCCCTGGCGTTTAGTCTGGTCTGACACCCTTTGGATCCTCTTGTTCTTTTCTCCCTCGTTCCGTCCTGCCATGCCTTCTTGCCCCTGCTCTTTAACGCGATCCCCCGTGTTCCACCCTTGTTCTCCCTAGCCTGCAGTCCGTGCCTGACCCCTTGTCCCTTGCGGTTCTTGGTCCAGTTTGCTCCCCTGCTCGTATCCCTCTCTCGCAACCTCGAGCGGTCCGTCTCCCCCTTTGACTGACTCGTTACTTCCGCTCGGTCCCCTATACTCTTGCCGCCAGCTGGGTGCTCGCTTTTTCTCTCGCGCACTCATGTACTTGTCATCGGGCGCACTCCACGTTTGCGCTCTTTCCGTCTGTCTCTTCTTTGGGCGTCTGACACGGTGTGTCTTGCGTTCGTTCAGGGTCCTCGCTGCGCTTGAGTGTCTCGGTCGTTCCCCTCACCTGTGCCTCCGCGCTCCTCGTCCCCCTCTTCTTATTCCTATCCTCGCTGCACCTGGGCCGCGCGTTGCGGCTTCCCGTCCACGGTTCCCTCCCCGTTCCCGTTGTCTTCCCCTTTCCACCTTTTACGGGTTCGCGAATCACCCTTCCCCTCTCGTTGTACGCCGCCCACCCCTCCCGCCTCTGTTTCTCTTGCACGGTCGCTGGTCCCCGGGGGGTCCGTTGATCCTCTCTTTTGTTCCCGTTCTCGTGTGTCCGTTTCCCCTTCCGACGTCGGCCTGGCACTTCTTCCCTTACTCTTTTTCTCCAGCGGAGCGTGCCCTCTCGCATTTTTCCCTGCTGTCGCTGGGGCCCTCCCCTTTCCTGTACCCCTCCGGCCTCTTGCTTTGCGGTTCCATACTCCACTTCCCTGGCCTCTCTCTCGGTGGCTACGGCTTTCGCTTCGCTTCGACCTCCCTCTGTCCTGTAGGTCCGGTCCGTCCTCCATGTGGGTGGCCCTCCTCTCCGCCTCTTCCTGTCGCCTCTGTCCACATTACGTTTGTCTGCTGGTCCCCGCTTGCTTGTTCCGCTAGTATCTAGTCCCCCTTGCTCTGTGAGCCCGCGCTTGCCCACCCGCTCTTTCGATTCGGTTTTTGTGTCGCCTACTCCGACCTTGTCTTTCTCTCGGACTTCCACCTTCTAACCCTCCCCGTTGCCTCTCCTTGGTTCTCCTTATTCCCTCTACCTGTCCTGCCTCCTCTCCTTTTCACCCTCCCCCGCATTTTCCTTTCTCTCCCCTTCCTCTTTCCACCCTCCCCCACATTTGTGTCTGTTGCCCTCCTTTTCGCACTCTTCTCCCTTTCATCCTTTCCGTCCCTCAGCTTCTTCTCTCGTCTTTAACGCTCCATTCATCCGTGCCTGCGCTATACCCCGTTAGTTTCTCTTTTTTGCCCTCGTCTCCCCCTCGCCCCGCTTCGCCTTTTCCTCGCTACGAGTGGTCTGGTTTTGTCTTTGTCTTTACGGTCCTTCCTTCCCACCCCGCTTCTCTATCACGTATCTCCCGGTCGTTACTTTCTCCCATTTCCCGTCCTTCACCATTGCCCCTTTGTCCCGTTTCTCCTTGTGCTCCGTCTGTTACATGCCCTATTGTTGTGGGCTCCTCTGCCTCGCCAACCGCCTCCCCTTCCTCCGGCTCCTTTCTCCTTGCCGGTTGGCGTTTTCGTTGTCCCCATGATTTTCGCTGCTGTCGTCCTTTCGGTACTGTCCACTCCTTCTCATCGTAACTTCTCGGCGTCCTCCTGAGCATCTTTTCGTTTTCTGCCCTCCGCCTGTCGCCGTCCTTTTTTTGTCACTTGCCTACTCTGCTTTCGGTGGCTACCCCGAACGCCTCCGTTCGCTCTCCTGTGCCTTTGGGTATTTCCGCCTGTCTGCCGCGGTCGTCCGTTTACGCCGTTCTGTCCCTCCCTATGCTTGTCTCCTGCCTACCTTCTTAGCTCTTTCGTGCTTTCCTGCCGCTGTGGCTTCGCGTGCCTTCGCTGGTGTCACCCCCCCTGCCTTATGTTTTTCCCCCTGTCCCCCCTGTTCGTGCTTCCTCTCGGGTGTTTCTTCCGTGCCTAGCTTTAACCTTCGGGTCCCTTTGCTTTCGTGTCCGTTCTTATCTCCTCCTTGCCTCTTCGGTGGTTGTGTGTGGTCTTACCTCTTCTGCCGGACCCGATCTTTCTCTTCTGCCCCCGCGCCCTTTTCTCCTCCTTCATGCTTCGCGCGGGGCTGGCCCCCGGCCTTAGCTCCCCCCTCTTTCTTCTCCTTGATTCTCAATATCCTCACTTTCCTTCCTCTCTCCCTTCAACCTTCCATATTCGCCGCCCCCTTCTCATCTCTCTCTCCTTGGGTGTGTCTGCTTTTGTGCCTCGCCGTACTTCCTGCGTCGTTAATCCTCCTGCCTGTACTTTTCCATCCTTCGCCCTGCTCCCCTATCTGTGCTCGTCCCGGTCCTTTCTTGCCCGGCCCTCCTCCTCTGTTCTTGGGAATTCTTTCCTTCCCTACGGATCTGCTTTTTCCTTCCCCGCTTGCCGTATTGTTTCCGGTATCTTCTCTTCCGGCATTTTCCTGTTCCGCTTCTGGCTGTGCGTGCCCCGTTCTTCCGTCCTTCCTGGTCTCAGTTCCCCGTACTATTTTCTCCGCCAACTCGTGTCCCAGTCTCTTGCGGGCTCCTACGTGCTTCGGGCGACCCCGTCAGGCCCCGATTCCCCTCTTCCCATCTACCCTAGTTCCCGCTCGTCTGCCCCTTCTGCACTCTGGATCCGGTTGGGTGTGTGCTCATGCCCTTCTTGTCCGTTGCCCCCCTTCCTCCCCGTCGCACCATGCCTTTGTCTCTTCCCTGTATTCCCCGTGTCGTTCGGAGTCCACCATGCCTTAGTTCTTTTGTCGCCTTTTCATTCACCTGCTTTTGCCTCTGTGCCTACCTGGCCTCTTCCCTCTTCTCCCGTCCCGTGGCTCCTGTCCAGAACGTGGTGCTCCCCGTGCCCTCATTGTGTCCCGTGTAGCCCGTTGTCTGGTTTGTGTCACATCTTCTCTCTCTTGGTCCTTCTTTGCCTCTGCTCCGTGCCCGGCTCGCTGGGTCGCGGCCTACTTCTCCTGGCTTTCCCTGGCTCCCTGTCCGCCTTTCCATGCCTTTGCCCATTCTTGTTTCTTCTCCTTTCCTCACCTTACGAGTTTCTGCCGGCTCCTTCCGTGTTGACGTTTGAGCCCTCGTCGCGTCTTCCCGTTACAGCCCAGTTCTTCGTAGCCCGTCTATTCTCGCCCTTTTGCATGTCTCCCCCTGCCACTCTCCCTCTGCTATTCCTCCCTATCCGGCCCTGCTCCGTTTAGCTAACTCCTTGTCGGCCTCCTTTCCCCGCCGTCCCACTCCTTACCCTCGCTCCTTTCCTGTGGTTTCTACCCAATCCTCCCCCCCCTTTCTTTTATTTGGTCCGACCAATTCCCTTTCTCGTTCCCCCTGCGTTGCCCTCATCCCCTGCTCTTCCTCTAGTCCTCTTGGTCTGCTCTGCGCTCCCTCTTAGCCGGACCCTGTCCTCTCGCCCTGTCCCTCTCGTGGTGCCGCCTTCCTGGCTCGTCTCTCGTGGGCGGCCTCTTGTGTTGGTTCCCCGGTTCCTGCCGGTCCCGGTGGGTGAGCTTATACCCCTTTTGCCGTTTCCTTCGTCCCTCCCTTATTTTCAGTTTCTTTGTGTTGCTCGTCCGCTTCCCTGCTTCTATTGTCCTGCGGTTCCGCCTCGATCCCTCTGCCGTTCTCCTTGCCCCTTTCCTCCGTCCCTGTCTCGTCCCTTTTTCTCCCTTTCCTTTTCCCGTTCTCTCCTTACCTCTCCCTTTTCGGCAACCCGTTCTTCCGCTTCTGTTTTTGCTAGCCCCTGGCCCGGCTCTTGCCGCGCCACTTTCTACCGTCTTTCTCCGCTGCCCGGTCCCTGCGTCCCCCCCTCCAGTTGCCCTCCCTTTAGTTTCCTGTGGCGACGGTTCTTTTGTCCCTATGCCTCGCTTGCCGGGGCGGTCGTGCTGCCCCTGTCTTTTTGTGTTCCCCGCCCTCCTCTCCGGTACTTTCCTTTTCTCCCAAACTGCGTTAACTGCCCTCTTCTCTATTCCTGCCCCCCCTTACCGTTAACTTCGCCCGCTCGTCTGTTCCGTCCTCCTCGCCGTCTCGATCGATCGCTTCCGCCTCCCTCGTGTGATCGTTTCCTTGCTTTTCTCTGTTCGCCGCCTGGCTCCCCCGCCTTCCTCGTCCTCTTCCTCCCGCCATTCCCCCCTTCGTTTCTTTTGTCATCCCCTCCTTTTCGTTCCGCTCGGCACTGCTCCTGCGCCTCCGCGCCCCCGGCTACTCCCTTCTCGACTGCTCCCTGGTCGGTTTCCTCTTGCGTCGCCGCACTGCGTGGCCGGCCCGCTCTATCTCCCCGTTCTTGTGCATCGAGCGCCGCCGGTCCGGTCTGCCCTTATGCCGGGCGGAAGTTCTTTGGTCGCCCCGTCATTCCGCGACGTCTCCGTCGCCCTCCCGTTGGCTTGCTTGTTCTTTGCCTTAACTTTCTCACTCGCCCCCTTGCCGGATTGCCGTCTGGCCATTTTGCTGAGTTCCCGCACCTCCTTCCTCTGCCTTCCTGTCGTTCTTTATCCGAAGTCCACACCTGCCCTCTCCCCCGTTCTGCCCGTTCCGCCTCCCTTCTCCTGGCCGTCCTCTCTTTCACCCTTTCTTTTCCCTTTCTGCTTGTTCTCTCAGCGGCCCATCCTTCCTTTCCTGCTGCGTACTGCCAGCTGGTATGCTACTCTTCTCCTCTCTCCTTCTTCTGTCTCCGTTGTCCGTGGACCTCCTTTTGCTTCCCGTTCTCGGTGGCTGTGTCCCTCTTGTTTTTTCAGATCTGCGCTTTCACCCCTTCGGCGTCCTTCCGTCCTCTTGTGAAGGTCCTCTTCCCACGCTGCCACTCCTTCTGCGCTGTGCATGTTTCTCGCTTTGACCGTCGCTTTGCTTCCTTTTCGCCTGTTCAGTTGTTTATTTGCGCCTCCCATCACTCATACAACCTCCGCTCCACTTCATCACCGCGCCTTCGCCGTGCTCTATCCCTTCTCGAACCGCTTCCCCTTCGTTGTGCCTCTCCCAGCTTCCCTCCCGGTGTTTGTACGATCGTCGGCTTTTCTCTCCGCTACGGGTTTCCGACCTCTACGCCTGCCCCCCCCTCTCCTTCTGTTCCCTTTCGTCTCTTCTCCCCTGTCCCCCTCCCCCTCCTACCTGTCACTTCAACTCACTTCGCTCCCTCGCTCCTCTTCGAAGTCTCCCTTCTTGCCTCTTGCGCGCCTCTTGCCCTTGCCCCTTTATTGCCCGGTTTTTGCTCCCGTCTGCTCTGCCCTTCCTGCACCCCTTCCTGTTCGTTTGTTGTTGTTTCCTCTTCTTCCTCTCTTGGGCGAACCCTGGCTCTTTTTTTCAACCCTACTTTCCGTCTCCCGACGTTCCCACTCCCTTTATTTCTGGTTTTTGGAAACACTGTCCTTTTATCTTTTCGTGTGTTTGTCCGCCCCGTCGCCTTGCGGTCTCTCTCCGGTTGCATGCCGCCTCTGGTCTCTTTGTCTCCCTGTTCCCATCTCGCTGCGCCGTGTCTTGCTCGCCGCGGGGCTCGGTTTTCGCTCTCTCTCGTTTGACCTGTCCTTCCTCCCACCGTTTCTTTGCTTCGGCTTTGTCTCCTCCGCATCTTTTTTGATCCCCCTCTTTGCTCCCGTTCCTCCTTTCACCCGCCCTTCTCTTCTGTTGTGCCTGATTCGTGGTTCCGGCCCCTACTTTGTGTTCATTACCCTCGTCGCCGTCGCCTCGTTCTTGGGTAATTCTGGTCGTCCCATTTCTTTCACCTCTGGCTCACTACTTGACGCCGTGTCCCCCCGGGCTCTTCGGTGTTCCGCTTAACCCCTGTCGGTCCTCTTCCGGTGTCCCTCCTAGGCCCTCCATCGATCCGACCTCCCCCTTCGTCCCGCGCCCTCCCTGCCCTCCTCCCCTCCCCTCTACCCCCTCCCCGCCGTCCTCCCCTCACTTTTGCTGCTCGGCTTTCCTGTGCACGTGCGCTTGGTTGCCGGTCCTTCCCCGCCGACTCTACGCGGGTGTTCTCTCTTCTCTTTCTTCGCTTTTGGCCTTGATGGTCCCTTTCGCCGTTGCTCAATCCTAGCCTCTCCCCCTTCTTACCCGTCCGTTTCTTTCCCGCCGTCCCTCCGGGCGCGGCCTCCCTACCCGCGGCGCTGCTCGTCCTCTTTGGTCCGTGCTCTTCCCTTGTTCGTCTCGCTTTCCTTCCCTCTTCTGGTCCACCCCTGCTGTACTCGGCGCTGTTATCTCAGTTTCTGCTTCTTTCGCTCTCTCTCTCCGGCGTTTCCTTCGTTTCCTCTTCGTGGCCCCCTTGGGCTGGGGCGTGCTTCGTGGTTCCGCCGCTCGCTTTCCGTAGCCCTCTCCTCGGTCTCTCACCATCCCCTTCGTTCCTGCTTCTCCCTTCGCTCGCCCTCATCCGTTTGGTGCATCTTTGTTCGTCCGTTCTCTCTGACTTTGCTTCTCCCGCGGACTTTTTTGGCAGCTTATCTCCGCTCCCCTTGTCCCTGTGGCTCCCCTCCGCCCGCTCTGGGTCCTTTCCTTCTATTTGGCCCCCCCGCCCCTGTCGACGCGTCTTGTCGCTTCGCCGTCTCCCCGCCGTTTTTACCGTGCCATTTGCCGCTGCTGTCCGCTCCGTGTTCGTTGTCTCCCTCTGTTGGCTTTGCTGTCGTTACCACGTCCCCCTGGCAATTGCCCCTTGTCTTCCCTCCCTAGGCTCTTCTTCCGCCGTCGTTTCTCCCCGTTGGCTCTTGTCTTGCTGTGCCGTCCCCTTCGCCCCGTCCGCCCTCTCCTGTTCCGAGCCGTTTAACCTATCTCGCCTTCTCATGACTTGTCGACTTTTTTCGTCAGGAGCCCATCTCTTCTTCGCCCGTTGTTGAGCCCCTCCCTATTTTCTTCCGCGGGTCATGCTGCCTTTGGCTGCGTGCAACTTCCTTTCTCCTGCTGTGGTCGCTATTCCGTGACCCAGGGGGTCACAGGTGTGACTCTCATTTGGTATTATTACTCGAACTGCGCATGCGAGAAGGGAACATTCAGTGCTATGCACCGCCCTCTGGCGGTCTGAAGGGATGAAATAGAACTGTTTTTAGGCTCCACTAGCATTACCAGTAACTCTTAGTACAAGTTATATACTGTTTATAGCTGGACAATGCTAACCTGCTAGCTCAATGCAGGCCAATAGCGAAGTATACAGTCCCTAATATACAGTCTATAGTTGAGAAAGTTTCAGATATATTCTTCAAATTACTTTTTCAGCAGATTTCATCAAAAGTAAAGCTCGACAGAAGACGATCACTCAAACACATCCACAATAATTAGCATAGATTTATTTTCGTACCATAAACTTTCACATTTCTCCAGTAGTAAATGAGCAGTAGCTGGAATAGAAAGTTTTTTTTGTGTTGCTGATTGTTGTAAAACCCTTGGTATCGTCCAGATTCTCCAGAGCATCGCGAACCACGTCCTGTTCACCAAAGAGGAGCACATGAGGCCGTTCAACGACTTCGTGAAGAGCAACTTCGATGCAGCTAGAAGGTATGAGCGTAACCATGGCAACCACTATAGTCTGGGCTGGTTTTTTTTTTTTTGGGAAATTTGGGAGACTTTAGACTGGAAGGTTTGAAGCCACGGTCTTCTAGGTGGCCGCATAGAGCTAAAGATTTAATTTTTTTAATTTATTGACCATATATTTTCTACTGAAGACGTTATTTCACATTCTACTACATACAATCCATACATTTTCTTCCCCTTAATCCATATCTGGGTCTGGGGAATTCGGCACCAGCCCCTCACTGATCCTCCTGCAGGTGCTGAGTCTACAGGAGGATGGCTGCTCAGTGGGGGATTCAGGCAAAGTGGGGTTAAGTGTCTTACCAAAGGACAGTGGGAGCCCAATACTCTTCCAACTGTATTGTCACTGGCCACTGTTGCCAAAAGTTTCATTAAAATTTGAATTGCCAAAACTAAAGCTTGATATTTCTTCTTTAACCATGATGCAAATCGAAATATCTGGAAGAATCTGAATATTCTTTTAAACCTCAATCCTCATCCATATTTTGTTTTTGCTGCAGGTTTTTCTTGGACATAGCGTCGGACTCTCCTCCCTCTGACACCGTGAACCACAGTCTCTCCTTCATCAGTGACGGCAACGTTTTGGCTTTGCACCGACTTCTGTGGAACAACCAGGAGAGGATCGGACAATACCTCTCCAGCAACCGGTACAGACATGTTTTATATGTCGTTACACACATACACCTTCAGACAGACGCACAAAACTAAAAAAGCAGGAAAGAGTGCAATGCTTAAGCTAAGAGTTTTAGAGGAAGGGGTGAGTTTTTAACTGTTTTATTGAAGGAGTTTAGTGAGTCTGAGTTTGTGAGGTGAGGGGGGGGAGAGAGTTCCAGAGAGTGGGAGCAAAGATGGCGAAAGCTCGGTCCCCCAAGGTTTGGATTTGACAGTGGCCGTGAGGTCTGGAGGAGCACTGCAAAAAGTGACAAAGATAAGTAAATAAATGCTTAAAATTTGAGTATATTTGGACTTTCTTAAAACAAGATTTGCCAATGGAACAAGTTATTTGATCTTTTTTCAAGTGCTGTCGCAATTTTTGTCTTGTATCCTTTTAAAACAAGACATTTTTGCTTGTCCCAATGGCAAATCTTGTTTTTAGTCCTTCAAAATGTGCGCAAATTAAGATAAAATCACTCAATTCAAGCATTTGTTACCTTATATTCTATCATTTTTTTGCGGTGAAGTTATGGGGGGCTTTGTAGGTGATGAGGATTTTGAAATGGATGCGCTGTTTAAGGTTGAGATCGAAGTCTTTCTTTTTTGCTTGGGGAAAAATCCATTCTGTTCAGTATCACAATATTTTGCGCACCCAATTACGCACTTTGCACACTTTGTTTTCTGAGCTTAATATGTTACGTACAGTTGCGCGTTACCTCCACAAGAGGGCGTTTGCTGAGATGCTTTGTATTCATTCATTCAAACCCAGCAAGAAGGTCCTGGGTTTGATTCCACCTACAGACCTTTCTATATTTAGTTTGCATGTTCTCTCTGTCTGCGTAAGTTTCTGCTACCGCTAAAAACATGTACAAAAGGCATCGCGGCCATGCTCCCATCTCTTTAATTGTTGCTCACTCTACACAAACAGTTTTGTGACTGGTCTATGAAAGGCGCTATATTAACGGCTTATTAACTGAGTGCGAGGTCTGTCAAATATCAGACTGATATTTCAGGTCTGATATTTCTCTGTACAGACCGAGCAAGCAAAGTTAATAAATGTTTTATTGATTGACTGCGGAACCTTCCGCAGTCAACCATTGGTTTTGTATTTCTTTATTCCGTCATTTTTTTTGACACGTTTCACAGCTTTCACATTTTCAACAATTTCCACAAGTTATACATCAAAACGTTCCACATGTTTGGGAGATTATTGCTATTACTTTTGGGACTTCAGCGATTTCCGGTTTTTCCGCAATCGGACAAAAATCTGCATTGAGAATTCTGCAATGCATTTTAATAGGCCCATGCATTTTAATAGGACTTCAGCTCTTTCAGACATTTCTACAGTTTCAATGATTCAACAGTTTCAAGGATTCAACAGTTTCAAGGATTTCAGCAGTTTCAAGATTTCAAGAGTTTCAAGGACTTCAACAGTTTCAAGGACTTCAACAGTTTCAAGGACTTCAGCAGTTTCAAGGACTTCAGCAGTTTCAAGGACTTCAGCAGTTTCAAGGACTTCAGTGTAATCATGCAACCTAATAGGGATTTTTCCATGTAAACCAGTATAATGCAACTTAATAGGGATTTTTCCATGTAAACCAGTATAATGCAACTTAATAGGGTTTTTTCATGTAAACCAGTATAATGCAACTTAATAGGGTTTTTTTTCATGTAAACCAGTATAATGCAACTTAATGGGGATTTTTCCATGTAAACCAGTATAATGCAACTTAATAGGGGTTTTTACATGTAAACCAGTATAATGCAACTTAATAGGGTTTTTTCCATGTAAACCAGTATAATGCAACTTAATAGGGTTTTTTCCATGTAAACCAGTATAATGCAACTTAATAGGGTTTTTTCCATGTAAACCAGTACAATGCAACTTAATAGGGATTTTTCCATGTAAACCAGTATAATGCAACTTAATAGGGTTTTTTACATGTAAACCAGTATAATGCAACTTAATGGGGATTTTTCCATGTAAACCAGTATTATGCAACTTAATAGGGATTTTTCCATGTAAACCAGTATAATGCAACTTAATAGGGTTTTTTCATGTAAACCAGTATAATGCAACTTAATAGGGTTTTTTTTTCATGTAAACCAGTATAATGCAACTTAATGGGGATTTTTCCATGTAAACCAGTATAATGCAACTTAATAGGGGTTTTTACATGTAAACCAGTATAATGCAACTTAATAGGGTTTTTTCCATGTAAACCAGTATAATGCAACTTAATAGGGTTTTTTCCATGTAAACCAGTATAATGCAACTTAATAGGGTTTTTTCCATGTAAACCAGTACAATGCAACTTAATAGGGATTTTTCCATGTAAACCAGTATAATGCAACTTAATAGGGTTTTTTACATGTAAACCAGTATAATGCAACTTAATGGGGATTTTTCCATGTAAACCAGTATTATGCAACTTAATAGGGATTTTTCCATGTAAACCAGTATAATGCAACTTAATAGGGATTTTTCCTTGTAAACCAGTATAATGCAACTTAATAGGGTTTTTTTCATGTAAACCAGTATAATGCAACTTAATGGGGATTTTTCCATGTAAACCAGTATTATGCAACTTAATAGGGATTTTTCCATGTAAACCAGTATAATGCAACTTAATAGGGTTTTTACATGTAAACCAGTATAATGGAACTTAATAGGGGTTTTTACATGTAAACCAGTATAATGGAACTTAATAGGGGTTTTTACATGTAAACCAGTATAATGCAACTTAATAAGGATTTTTACATGTAAACCACTATAATGTAACCTAATAGGGGTTTTTACATGTAAACCAGTATAAAGCAACTTAATAGGGATTTGTACATGTAAACCAGTATAATGCAACCTAATAGGGATTTTTCCATGTAAACCAGTATAATGCAACTTAATAGAGATTTTTCCATGTAAACCAGTATAATGCAACTTAATAGGGATTTTTCCATGTAAACCAGTATAATGCAACCTAATAGGGATTTTTCCATGTAAACCAGTATAATGCAACCTAATAGGGATTTTTCCATGTAAACCAGTATAATGCAACCTAATAGGTTGCATTATACCACCAGACCAAGACCCAAACGAAGACTCAGACCACCACCAGATAATGACCACAGACCAGGTTTCCTTAGTTACAGGAACCAAATTGTTTCAGCGGTGAGGGGATTTTTCAGTTTCAAGGACACTTTCAATACATTCAGTAGTTTCAAGGATTTCAACTGTTTAAGAATTTAACCAGTTTCAAGGATATCAGGAGGTTCAAGGATTTCAGGAGTTTCCACACTTTCAACAGTTTCCAGGTTTAAAAAAAGTTTCAAGGATTTCAGGAGTTTCAATGTTTCAACAGTTTCAAGGATTTCAGGAGTTTAAAGGTTTCAACAATTTCAAGGACTTCAGGAGTTTCAAATATCTATCAAGTATTTTAACAGTTTCAAGGCCTTTTAAAGGATTTCAAGGATTTTTTTTAGCAGATTTCCACATTAGATCTGTTCCGCAGTCAATCGCAATGGCTTCAGCCATTGCAAGTTTCTAGTTATTATATGACTCTCGTGTGTGTCTTTACCAATGTTTTTGAGATATTTGTGAAGTATGTTCAATATAATATGTCCGACTTGGTTTTGTGTGATACGGGCTGTGGACAGATTGTCATGGTAACGGTCCGTTTAAAGATATCAAATGTGATACGCGCTGTTCGGGCCAATTGTCATGGTAACGGTCCGAGATGGGAAAATATCAGACCCCAAATCAACCAATCAGAGCGCGCGTACGGTCCAAGTCATATAATAAACATTAATATTACTTACTCTTTTTCCCTGCAGTGACCATAAAGCAGTAGGCAGACGTCCCTTCGATAAGATGGCGACTCTTCTGGCCTACCTGGGACCTCCCGAACACAAACCAGTGGCCGACACGCACTGGTCCAGCCTGAACCTCACCAGCTCCAAGTTTGAAGAGTTCATGACCAGGTAACAACGTGTGTCTATTTGATACGGGAATCTTTTCTCTATAAAATGTGAAACAGTTCCTCCCCTTGAAATAAATACGACCAGTGAGATTTGCTGGAACAGAACAGTTTAACCAATGAGGAAGGGCCTCATGGATTTGAATTAATTTTGACCAATCACGGAGCTGCAGGTCTACGCAGTCCTTGTTGTCAAAAAGTTTCGCTCTATTCACAATTTTGGATAGTAACAGACGTTCTCTTTAATTATTGTGATTATTTAAGTGTATAAAGTTGTTTTGTTGAGTTGTCTTGCGTATCAACTATTCAATACAAATAAACTTACCTTTTCCAAAATGTCTTCGGATCAGGACTCGACGGAATAGCACTCGATGGATTAAGTCCATATTTTCTTTTCATTTCACTGCGAATAGTGCAAAACGGTAGAACCCAACATGACTGTATAGGGACACGAGATCTTACTAAACCGGAGGATGAAGGTTATATAGGAGGATTTTCCCAAATTCTAGGAAAGTTCCGCCCTCTCCACCAGAATGACTCACACTTGGGAGGACCAATCGTCTTGAGGATTCACCCGGAAGTAGAAAATCATCCTATATACCTTTTTAGTTTCCCATCTGAATGGAATAAAACTCTGTTGTTTGATCCACAGACACCAGGTTCATGAAAAAGAAGAGTTCAAAGCCCTGAAGACCCTAAACATCTTCTACCAGGCCGGGACGTCCAAAACCGGGAACCCAGTCTTCTACTACGTGGCTCGAAGGTAAGTCCTAAAGTCTGTTGGATGGTTGTAACTATATGTAATGTTTATTCTCTGTGGTGTTGACCCGTGTGTTTTGGGACGACCGTACTTCTCGGCTGTTTGAGTGCACCAGTTCTTTTAAAAATTAAATAGATGTCCATAAATAGAACGCAGATGATTGCAAGCTGGAGGTGTTCATGTTTTAAGGTATTTGCAACGCTTTGAGGAGGCTAAAATGGGACAGTTAATATTTGCCGGGCTAACGAGAGTCCATGGTATTTGGTCGGACAGGAAGTGAGTCCTTATCCCCAAATTAAAGTCACTGTGACGGCCCCAAACTTTTTTTTATTTAAATGTGTGTTTTATGTGTGTATGGCTATATGCACGGGGAGGCTGATGTCATTTCCTGTTAACGCAGTTCAGCCCGTCCACTTCCTGCTTATGCTATCGCTATGGCTTTTAGGTGAGTTGAAGTGACGTTTTTTAGTATTTAGATTGATATATTCAGCTGAGACTGACCCAAAAGTGTCGACGTACGTTCTCTCTGAGGTAGAGCTTTGACTGTGGCCACTCAGAGAGATTAGTTTACAATGACAGCACAATCAAAGAGCACTGCTGTGTCCCAAAAATGCCCAGTATCCTACAGATTAATTCTCGTTTGAGCATTATTTGCGAAACTCGTGTAAACCACTGCTGAACTCCAGTGAAACCCAAGCCGTTCCCCGCGAACAGGAAGTGAGGTGGGGTAGTTGCTAAAACGCGGAAGTGGTGCGTGCACAGAGCCCATAGTAATTTCACCTGGGTCATGCTGCTTACCTCAGCTTTAAGCGATCTGTTTCCACACCTCTTTTAATCTTTTAAGCAGCCATATATTAGCGCATAAAAAAGCCCGGAATTGAGGTAGTTAATATGGTTAGGAAATGTATGCTAGTTTGGTCTTTGGTACAAAAATGAGAGCCCTAGTCATGTGCTAGCAAGCCTCGACATAAAAACTTAAGGTTACTTAACGTAACCCCGGTTCTTTGATAACAGAGTGAGGTGTTTCACTATGGGAATCGCTTTGGGCGTGACCATCCATGGAAGCTCCAATGGCACCACGTCTGTCTTTTGACAGACAGGTTGACAGTACCTAGCACCGCCTACCTACCCTGGTACAGTCAACCTCCTCCTTTTGGAATCATTCAAAAGCGCTTTCTGACCGCTTTGCAAGGAGGGTAATGAAGGTGAAACACCTCACTCTGTTATCAAAGAACCGGGGTTACGTTAAGTAACCTTAAGTTCTTTTTCTAACTTCGTTCGGTGTTTCACTATGGGAGATATGGACAACTCCCGTATTGCAAGGACTGCTCCTGAAGCAAAAGGACCACCGAGGCGCCAGACGGTGACCTCAAACAGTACCAGAAGCACTTGGTTCCAAGACTACCTGAGCCAAAGAGGAGCCAGAGACATCCAGTCGATAAAAACGAACAAAGGTATGCGGCGATGACCAGCTGGCCGCCGCACATATATCCTGGTCAGATACACCTCGGAACAGGGCCCAAGAAGTGGCAACACCCCTGGTGGAGTGTGCCCTCAACCCCTGCGGTGGAACTACACCCCTGCAGGTATAGGCCAGAGAAATTGCCTCTACAATCCAGTGAGAGATCCTCTGACTGGACACCGGCTTTCCCAAATGGGGAGAAGCCCAGGACACAAACAACTGGTCGGCTTTCCTTAAACCAGCTGTCCTGTCAACATTTACCCGCAGCGCGCGCACTGGGCACAAAAAGTGCAGTAGCCGCTCCTCCTCAGAGGAGAAAGGCGGAGGATGGAAGGCATTAAGCTCCAGTGTAGGGCAGCTATATGCAGAATCCATCTTTGGTACAAAAGCCGGGTTAGGGCGCAAGCGCACCTTAGATAACCCCGGCGCAAACTGCAGACACGAGGGGCTGACAGAAAAAGCCTGTAGTTCACTCACGCGCTTTGCAGACGTCAGAGCAAGAAGCAGAACTGTCTTATAAGTGTAATAACCTGATTATTTTGTATCAGGATATTTTTATTTGTAAGTCATTAGTCATAAGAGTCATTTATTTCATGTCATTATACATTTCATAGTTTGTTATAAAAAAGGTTAAAATATGCCATTTGCATTACATTTAAAACTGTTCATGAATACAGGTCATTTCATTTATGGTGCACAAGTTAAAACCCCGGGATATTTTATTTAGTTGTTTTTGACTTTGCTGGTGTCAATCACATACGTAGCTACGCACTGCGTAAGGTGAGTGAGCGAGAGAGAGAGAGAGAGAGAGGAAAAAAAGAGACGAGGAGCACGAAGCAATGAACTGCAATGGCGACGCTCGCAGAAGATTTGCTCTTGCGAAAAACAGACTAAAAAGACTGTAGAGCTGTGCTACCGTTGGACTGGATAATTCCCCTTGTTCCAGAGGACCGTGGAGGACTCGTGGACGATTAAGGGGGTGAGTTTGAACAATTTTCCCAGCCCGTGGTTGGGGGAGCTAGCAGTAAAGCTAAACTAAGCTAAATGTTGCTATCACCGTGTCTGCTTAGACCCAGACGGGGGAGAGACGGTGTGGTCATCGGAGATCGGCACTCACCTGCGTTGAGGACGACAGTCAGAGTGGATTCCGTGTACACATTTTGTTCTGCTTTTTCTTGACCGTATGGACCGTGAAGAATAACGGTAGGATTGAACCAAAACTTTTCCAAACTGAGCTCCAACGCGCGCCAACATAAATGCAAGCTTGCTTCTAAATCGAGTGCACTCGTGGTAAAGACTGGTATAAACTTTCTTTGAGGGGGATTATTTTATTTGTTTTTTTCATTTTCTATGCAATAATTATTTGTTCAATACATAATTCCTTTTGAACTCCTTTGCTGTGTGTGTTTCTCATTAATAGTGCAAGGTAATATAGGTAAAGATACACGTTTTGAGTTGTTCGATATGTTAATTCTGGGAAGCCTCATTTTAATAATTTAAATTGTGAGGATCATACTTCTAACCTAGACTATTGGTTTTATACATTGGAATGTCTCTTTTACCATTTTAAGTAATACAACGAGCCGGGTGGTAAAAGGGTTACATTTTTGGGGGCTCGTCCGGGATGTTTTTTTTTTACCCAGCATTGTGTTTTTGTGTAATTTGAACTTTGCTGTGATTTTATGTTTAAATCATTCAAAATGAGGGCAGCACAGATTAAAGTGTGGTGTGACAGGTTTCACTTAGACCATGCTCATGCAATAGTTTTAGGTGGTGTTCATACAGTTACTGATGAGGTACTAATTGAAGTTCTTGGCTCAGTCAAAGCATTTGGAAAGACCAAGATAGTAGACAAATATACTGACACAACCTCTAAAACTGACTATGTGCTGGTACAGACCGTGTGTGACGTGACCACCCAGACTATACCTGACCAGATTGGTGTACCTGATGAATTTGGTCCTTGGTCAATTCATGTGATACCAACAGCGGTTGAAGAAAATGAAGATTTTCAAACAAAGTTACTGTCATTCCTCCAGAATGAGGGCAAAAGTATCGATGATGTGAAAGGACTGTTAAACACTTCACCCGTTAATATCAATACCGCTCTCATTTCTGCGATCAGCTCTCTTGTGGACAAATGCAATGCTGCACCATCTACCGATACGCAGAGTTATAGGAAGCTACGGATGTTTTCTGGAATGCGCCCGATCCCTAATGGTGAAGAGGAGTATGACGCCTGGGCAGAACAAACTACACATATGCTGGAAGAGTGGCAATGTGGTGATGCAATAAAGAAACAAAGGATTGTGGAGAGTCTCAACGGTCCGGCGGCTGATATAATACGATTTCTAAGAGCACAAAACCCAAATGCAACTGCAAATGGCTACATGCAAGCACTGGAAACAGCTTTTGGGACCACAGAAAATACATCTGATCTCATTGTGAAGTTCAGACAAACATTTCAAAGTGAAGGTGAAAAACTGTCTCTGTATCTGCTCAGACTCGACAAACTGCTGCACTGCATTTTCAGAAAAGGAGGTGTACAACTAGCTGATATGGATTGTCTTCGCATTGAACAAGTTGTGCGAGGTGCACTTCCACATGACATGATGGCAATGCGTATCCGCATGACGCACAAACTAAGGCCTGCGCCTTCCTTCAATGAACTTTTGAAAGAAGTCAGAGAGGAAGAGGACATGTTGCAAAGCAGGAATGATACCAAAAGTGCTGTAATGTCAAAAGCAGTGTATTCAGTCCCTAAGACTGCACCTGAATCCAAGATTGATTCTGAAGTGGAAAAACTCAAAACTGAATTGAGTGCAATGAAAGCTGAAATGAGCAATCTCAAAATTGCAACCGTTGCAGCAGCATCAGCTCAGACGGATAAAAAAAATCTCAAAGCTGAACACACCACCAAAAGCAAATTCAGAAGAGAGACGCCTCCACGAGACAAAAAGACTAATTTGGACCAACCAGGAATATTTTGTTATCGATGTGGAGAGGATGGACACTACATGAGAGAATGCAATGGAGAAGAAAACCTTCTAAAAGTAAACAAGCGCCTTATCAAACTCACAAAGAAATCGGGAAACTATCACGGGGCCCAGTAGTGGAACGTTTTGGCGTCCCTGATGTAAAGACACGTTCCAAGAGCATCAAAACAGAGAAACAAGTGGAAGACACTATCCCTGAAGGCTTAGTTGGCCCAAGTTCTACTGTACCTGTACAGATTGAAGGCATTTACGCTAAAGCCATTCTCGACACCGGTTCTCAAGTCACGCTGCTCTATCGATCCTTCTATGATAAGTACTTGAAACATTTACCATTGATATCCATCAGTGCTCTGCAGATCTGGGGTCTCAGTCCTGCTGATTATCCATATGATGGTTACTTGTCACTCAAGCTACAGTTCAGAGAATCAGATGTAGGTGTGACCGAGGCCATTGATGCACTTGTGCTAGTCTGTCCTGATCCCGTTGTGAAAGATAATGCCTCTATCCTTGTTGGCACAAACACCCCCACAGTGAGCAGGCTTCTAAGGA